TTACTATAGAATAAATTGCAATTAATATAAAGTTGAATACAGTAAAAAAGGGTGAATATATATATATATATATATATATATATGACACAGAAATTGTATTGTTATCAGTGGTGGCAGTCAATTTCTCTTGATGTGTTTGCAAAATATATTTTTCTGTCCTCAAAAATGTTCAATTGCGCACTCAATAAAATGTTCAATGCTCAAAATGTTTCATTGCGTGCTCAGGATAGAGGCACAAAAATAACGCCATTATGTGAGGAGGACCTGCTGCAGGATTTCCGCCCCGTGTAGCGAGTGATTTTAGGATCAAACATTCAGAGTGCATTTTGGACTTCTGAACACTTTGTTTGCTGGGAGAAATGTTTTAACACTAAAAACTTAGTCTGAAGTGTTTCTGCTGATTCAGTCTCCGTGTGTCAGCAGTCTCTGCCGTCAGAACAAAGTGAACACATCGGGCCGAGGCAAACACTCAGACACACTCACCTTTTAAATCGCGCTGTTCATATTTAACTGTAAATATAATATTCCTTGACCACTTTTTACTTCTCTAGGCTGCAGTGAAACTGACCGCATCACGTAGCATCGCACATACTGTTGAGTATTTCTTTTATCGAGCTGGAGCCATGAACACCCCCCTCCCCCCGAAATAAAAAACGATTCAAATGTTTTAAAAAATCTATGGAGGGCGCCAGTGCCATAGTTTCCATTATAAACTGCGAATGTCGTCCTAGCCGACAACTTTGAAGCTTCAAATAAGCCAGTACAAAATATATATTATATCTGATGTGTTCAACTTGCATGAAACCGGGCTAAGTTTGCTAGCACGATAACGAGCTAGTTAGCCGGCTAATCTGTCGGCTAATGTTAGCTAACTTAGCCTTACATTTTTAATAACCAAATACTGACTTCAGCTGACAAGCTAACAGGAATGTAACAAGTTAACCAAGCACATAAACATACTCACATGACTCCACATCCACGAATATTCACATTAAATGGTTGACCAAGCAGTCTTCCACTCAAATGTCAACCTTCTGAGTCCTGGACTGTCCGTGTCTGTGGGAGCAACTTGCGCGGGAACAAACTCTCCTCTCTCTGACGTCACCCACAGTTAACTTGCAAATGCCACACAGAGAAAGAAGTACAAGACAAATATGATTCTCACTCTGTTGTCAATTAATTACGCATGACCACAGCAAATAGTATGCTTTGAATTAGTGATCTATTCCAAACATTTAAATCCCTTATTTCCTTGTCAAATCAGGTGGAATGTATAATGTGGAATATCCTCTTATATAAATATTTTTATTTTCTTCTCCAGATGCTCCCAGAACCAATTTTTCCCAACGACTTCTGCTCAGTTGTGCCCTGACCATCTCAACTTTATGTCCTGTGACACTGATACTGTTGAGCTCATAGAGGGAAGCCGCCACCGTGAGGAGAATTTACAGCAAAAACGCCATCTAACATCTCAATAAATGGCCTTGTCTTTAACTTGATATTCTGTTCTGAAGTAGCGGAGAGGAAGCCCACATATGTTTTTTCCATTAGCTTAACAAAACAGAGATAACTCTTACCTTATGTAAAGGGAAAAATATGTTCTCTTTACTGTACAAGAGATGATATAAAGGTCCCCTTTCTGATTGGCTGAAACACCAAACAGATCATTGCAGCATCCCATAATCCCCTCTGTTTCAGCCCTGTTTCAAAAGTGCTGATTCTGTGTCTGTAGCTTTAAATGCTAATGAGCTGCTGCTGGCCACGCCCCTCTGCGAGATGATTGGTTGAAAATAACCACAATGGTGCTCTAAGAGGAGAGTCAGGTGATAAGGTGGGGGGGGGGGGTTACCTTGGTTGGTTATACGCTAATGGTTACATAATCCAAAAAAACATGTGGCCAAAATCTGATCCGCTAATTTAAGATGTACAAGGTTTTTATAAAGATGGATCAGGACAAAAAGAGAGAAAACAATGTTCCTGAAACTTTCAGAGTCTGTTAAGACAGAGGGGACATACTGTATATGATGTATTAAAGACATGAATAAGTATATTTTGCACAATAGTTTATCTTTAATTGCTATGAGCACTTGCAATGTAAAAGAAAGAAAACATTTTGACCCCTCTCTCGCATCAAGGATGAAAACTGCACACTCTTGTTTGCCTCATAAGTGACTGAAACAAAACAAGCTCATAGGTTTGTGTATGTAGCTGAATGCATAAAACGTACCTGCCACAACACTCAGGTGAAAGGTGGAGTTACTACGTCCCATTTTGTTCTGGGCTCCACAGGAATAGTTCCCACTGTGTTCAGCTCTGAAGTCAGTGATGGTGAAGATCTGTCCTGAAGCTTTTGGAGAGTCTTCATTCTCCTTGTACCAGGTGTAGTTAGCTGCTGGGTTAGCATCACTGCTACAGGTCAGAGTCACTGAACTGCCCTCCTCTATCTCAGCAGAGGGACTCACTGACACAGAGGGAGGCTTTGGAGCATCTGGAAAAGGATATGGACGATAGTATTCAAATATTAAGACATGTTATCACACATGATTGACTTTTTTTATAATAAATGTAAGTTCATCTTTGGTATTGTTATATTGTAATGTAGATCCTTGTGCTGTCACAAATGAGACTCCATTCCATTTACGTTTCTTGCACTATTTATTTTTATTTTCTTGCACATTTTGCAACATTCTCTTGCACTATTGTATTTCTATTCTGTTATTTCTTTCACTATTTTCATTTTATTTGTTTTATCTTGAATCCTGACAGCCAATTACACAACTTTTTTTTTAAGACTGAACACAATTCTTTCTTTATCAGTCTCATATTATTGTGACATTGTATCAATGCATGTTTCAGCTGCCACTCTAAAGCCCTTATGTGGTGCTTTTCATTCTGCAGTAATGTACATTCCCAAAGATATTGATATTGAAGTGACTGTTATTTTGTATATATTGATTGTTGTGTTTTTTTATCTTAATGTCTGCATATGTAAAGTGTCTGTTGACTGTGTATATATAGGATATGTATATTTTATACATATTTGTATACATATCTGTATATTGTATAATTGTATTTTTGTGTTCGGGATTGTTGGAAATGTCATTTCGATCTCTCTGTCTGTAAACACCAACTGAAAGATTGACATTAAAGTTGACTTTGACTGCACAAACTACAATTGTAAATAATCATAATACCTATCATAGTGAGCTGTATAACATATCTTTGTGTAAGGCATGATTGACACTGAGTTTTATTTAGTATTAATAATATTTGTTTACCCACTTTGACTGCTTCCTTGTTGTCCTTTAATTTATTTATTAATAAATAATGTTAATTAATGGCTGTTTTAACCGAGGTTGCAAAATCAAGTTTCTATAAATAATACACCTGCCTCCATATTAACATTCAGGAGAGTTAAGGTTAAATCTGATAAAGTAATTGTATTGTAATGCCAGTGTGTGTGTGTGTGTGTGTGTGTATATACGAGTTAACTCACACACTGCAGGAGAGGGGAACTTCTCATGTCCTTTCAGAAGCACAGGAATATCTGTTTGCAGAACCAAAGGTGACTAAACGAGTAGAAGATGTTCCTGTCCGAGTTTTCTCTCCGTTCTCGTACCAGATGTAATGATCAGAGGGTACTCGACAACTGCTCTGACATTTCAGCTCTGCCCGGTTAGTATATTTGGGTTCAACCTGCACCATGAGATCTGAGGCCTGTACTACGAAGCTGGATTTTCGCTTAGCCGGCTAAATTCAGGGAAATCTCGGGCTTTCCGGTCCTACGACGCTGGTTCTCTTTTTAGCAGGCTAGATTTCCATGGTAACTTATGCTGAGCGGCAAACCTGCTCCGGAGCAGGTTAGGTGGCAGGCTAAGAGATAAACTCAGTGAAAGCACTGCCTGCTGACCAATCAGAGCTCCGTGTGCGATCAAGTCATATTACAGGATAGAGGAAATACAGAAAAACTGCCGTTGCAGGAAAGACGGCCGGCCAAAATCAACTGACTGTGTGAACGTGAAAATTAATAGAATATCCCCTCCCATCTTCAGAGCAATCTGACTATTATAATATTAGCGTTAAGAAAGCTTACTTAAATATCTGCCACGACATAAGTAACCGGATCAGAGTAACATTAAGTACAGTCCGCGGCACTGTGAGTGCAGACGTCGATGTGTGCCATTATCATTCATATCATATCACATCATAATGTATCATATATTTCCTTATGAGTCAGCTGAGCCGTATCTGGCCGTGCAACACTCACAGTGTCACATACTGTATGCAGAAGTATTATTTTAAGCAACACATTAAGTTGACGAACCACTCGAGTCAAATTCTCCTAATTAAAGTCAGTTCCACTCGTGTCTTGGACGGGGCAGTGATATCATAAACCTGTTAATGAACGCATTCAAACGCTTTTTCTTTTACCAGCTGTATTCACCTTGCAGGTGCAGCTATGTAGCTTTTATCCTGGATAAAGTGTTTAAGACATGGATGTTTAAAGTTTAACTTCTTCATATTCGACTAATATTAAAGTTCACTTTTCATTCAGGAAGTATGACGCTGCGCTGTCAGTACGCTTGTCCGTGTTTGAGATTGGTCGAATGCTCCAAATACCACCCCTTTCATGTGAACGCGCACCTAACTAGATAGGACACGGCTGGCTTGAGCGATCCACTTGATAACCGGCGTCGTAGTACAGCTTAGCGCCAGCGCGTATGTTTTGGCTTAGGCCAACCGGCTAACTCCAACATATCCAGGTTAGGTTGAACCAGCTTCGTAGTACAGGCCTCTGGATTTGAGAAGATGGAACGTAATTGTTTTTTTTCAGACAAAACTGTCAACATGCATTGATACACATTTATATTATTGTTTTCTATATTGAACATTCAGATATATTGTAGCACCTCACATTGCAACAATATTGATTTCAATTTGTAAAAAACTGCAATGTACATGAAATAAAATAGATGCTTTCAGGCAAAACAAGACGCTGATCAGGATTTTTCAAATGTTATTTATTATGAAATTCAAAATACAAAATGTCCACAAGAACTCTTATCCTATACTTCTGTATATTCACAAATTCCACAGATAAAAAATCAGCATGCATATTTAAAGCAGTATGTTAAAGCACCTGACCAGTAGCTGACCTTAAAACACATCATGTTTGACACCTCGACATGATTCACTTCAAGCTGCCAGCAGCTCATTCTTATAAACCTACATGCTAATAAACTCCAACCTGCTGCTGCTACTGAAAACTGACAATAAAAACTTTGGGAGTAAATATATAAATGTAAATATAAGAAAATCACAGAAACTGTGTGTAAAGTTACAGCTGGAACTGTGACTCTAAATGTGGAGTGGGCCTGTTTGATCTGATGCAGGAGGCTCTAACCTGACTGGACTTCACACCATGTCTTCCTGCTCCTCTGTGTCTTTTGTCTGTGCTGCAGTGTCTGAGTCGTTCTCATACTCGGGGATAGAGCAAGACATCAGGCTCTTTATCATGAACTGTATATATTATCATAAACTATCAAAAATGTAATACATTTGAAGTCATTGTTTTATGACCAAATGCATTACTGGTTTCCACTCAGCAAGTTGTCAACAAAACACAGGTGCATTTAACTCCTCTTTTTCCGAGCATTTATGGGACAAATTATAACCTCTCCCTCACACCTCTATCTCTTCAGGTTCACGTGCTTCAGTGGTGGAGCTCAGAGCTTTCTTCTTCCTGGATTGAAAACAACAACAAGTGCAGAATTCATGACATTGAAACTTGTGGATGTTATAAGAGAATAAATAAATGGTTGATGAACTGATGTATTTCTAGTCTTGTACCTGATCCACAGACTCAGGAGACACACAGGAATCAGCATCAAGACCCCCAGAGTCGTCATGATAATCACTATCATTGTTGAACTCCCTAGAAACGTGATTACATATGTGATACACCTCAGTAGTAGATTAATATATCCCTTCAGTCAGTGTCATCCACTTCTAACACCATGGAGGTTCCTCCCTGAACAACAACAGTTTTCAGTTGTTTGAATCAATTCTGGTGAATGTAGAGAACTTACCTGTTCCAACACTCAGATGAAAGGTGGAGTTACTATGTCCTAACTTGTTCAGGGCTCCACAGGAATAACTCCCACTGTGTTCAGCTCTGAAGTCAGTGATGTTGAAGATCTGTCCTGAAGCTTTTGGAGAGTCTTCATCCTCCTTGTACCAGGTGTAGTTAGCTGCTGGGTTAGCATCACTGCTACAGGTCAGAGTCACTGAACTGCCCTCCTCTATCTCAGCAGAGGGTCTCACTGACACAGAGGGAAGCTTTGGAGCATCTAGAGATTCAGAGAGACCCATATCAATCACATCAGGATGTGATGAATGTTTCAAATGTTAAAATGGCTTTGTCACATGTTGCATTTCAGAGTTATGGCCTGCACTTTGTGGAGCAATACCTTTCAATACTATGATTTTTGTTAAATATACAACGCCACATGAATATTAAACTATTTATTTCATTGTTGTTAACAAATAAAGAGTAACAAGTGACCCAAGAACTCTCCAGCTACATGGCATGCATCCTTTACTGCTGGGTCGCCGTCTCATCAGAACTGATGATGTTTTATACTCACACTGGACATCTACAGAGAGAGAAGAAGACTTGATCCCTCCATATTGATTCTCAGACTTGCAGTAGTAGATCCCTCTGTCCTCAGAGCTGATGGAGGTGAAATGATAACTTCCTTCTGCTCCCTGAAACACTGTTTGGTTCTCCTTGTACCAGATATAGTTAGCTGCTGGGTTAGCATCACTGCTACAGGTCAGAGTCACTGAACTGCCCTCCTTTATCTCAGCAGAGGGACTCACTGACACAGAGGGGAGCTTTGGACCATCTGGAGGAAAGAAAAATTAGTACAAATACAGACTGTGAACAAAGTTGTCACTGGTAGCATGATGCTTTTCAAATAATCTGCGTTTACTCACATTTAACATCAATAAAGATGGATTCAGATCTTGTACTCCCAAGCAGATTCTCAGCTGTACAGTAATACTGTCCAGAGTCAGAGGACTGGATGGAGCTGAAGATAAGACGTGGTTTCTCATTGAGAGGAGGAAGGTAAGAAGATCCATCCTCCTTGTACCAGGTGTAGTTAGCTGTTGGGTTTTCATCATTGCTACAGGTCAGAGTCACTGAACTGCCCTCCTCTATCTCAGCAGAGGGAGGCTTTGGACGGTCTGTGGGAGAAAACATACACAGATTTAATTTCAAAATGAGTTTTCACAGTGGAAGATATTTTTTAATGAATAATAGTTCATTTCAGGTGGAACATGATTTACTTTTGTATTAAAAACTGACGAAGAAGAGTAAATATATATATCAACTAAAACTCATGGTGAATGTAAACACATGCAGCTTTGACTTTGACCAGAGGTTGGAGCCTTTATGTAGGATTTGCATAAAGGTAAGCTTCAGGTAATAATAATCGTGTGTGTGTGGAGAGCAAACCGTTTTTTGACTGCTTGACGTTTTGCTGAAAGACAACTGGCATTGTGTTCATAATACTTTGGTACGCATACATGCGATTCTGTCAAAAAAATATTACTATCAAAAGATAATGAGTGCACACATTGGTCACTACACATATTTAGAAGGAGAGCGATAATCTTCATGTCATTGAACACATTTTTCCTTTTTTATTTTATAGACTGGAGCTGTTATTGTTGAAATATATCTTATTATCTATATTTGAAATCAAACTGAACAAAATCTACAGCCCATAAACATCATGTAAATATAATTCAGAAGACACAGGAAATGAAGACACTGAACCAGGATCTTTGGAGACTGACAGGTCTGCTGGCGACCTCTGGTGGGTAAATAATAAAAAACCAGTGCAATCATGTAATGTCAGTGAAAGACTGTAAGTCAACTCACACACTGAAGGAGAGGGGAAGTCCTCATATCCCTTCAAAGCACAGGAATAATTGTCTGCTGAATCATAACTGAAGTCTGCATAAGAAGATGTGTCTTCCTTCACTTCCTGTCTGTTCTTAAACCAGATGTAGGAAGTATGACCAGGTGGACAACTGCTGAGACACTGAAGGAGAGCAGAAGATCCTGATCTGCTCATCTCCACCTGGAGATCTGAATGCAGGTAGAAATATAAAAAAAAGATCAATCATGTTTATGTATAGAAATGAAAATAAAATGTTAAATGTTTGAGGACATTTTCAGATACCTGTGACGGACAAAGTGACTGGAGGACCCCAGTATGTATCTCGGGTTGTTATGATCCTGAACCAGTACTCAGCTGAGTCGCTCTCTGTCAGGTTTCTGATTCTCAGAGTGCAGATGTTGTTTTCACAGAGATCCTCTACACGACCTGCATATTCTGAGACTGTGGTCAGATCTATACGTTCACCACCTTTCTGTTTAGTAAACCAGAATGTTTTCTCAACTGTGTTTTCACCATCATCCCATGTAGATGGGTATGTGTAGGTGCAGTTTATCTCCACTGTTGATCCTTTCACTGCACAGATCTCAGTAGAAGTGCAAGCCACTCCCCAGTCATTCTGACCCGGAACCACTGAAACACAGAGCACATCAGAAAGTAGAATCAAAGTTAATGACTTAAGTTAACAATCAATTGGTGAGAAAAAGTGGATCAAATGAATTATGATTTTGAGGTATATGTAACCAGGACAAGCTTTTAGATCTCCAACTATCAGCAGTCATTGCTATAACATTGTCTTTATCTTCATCTATTAACTAGAGCTGAATTGAAAATTGTATTTATCACAGTGATCATTGTTTGGACGCAGGAATATTTCCTAATTTTGTATCAACATTTATTTAAGAATTGGACCTTAAAAGGGTTGTTTATGTGTCAGATAAAATGTTTTAAAAATATAAAACATGTCACACACCTAAGGATAGGATAGAGGAGGTACATGTTGGCCAACAGTTAATTCCTTTTACAGCAGTTTACAACTGCTGCAATGAAAACTTTGTTATTCCTGAACCAAAACCAGTAGATTTGAAGTCCAAACACAGAGCTTTTCTTTGGTAAAAGATAGTCTGACGATGCCTTAAAGAGGATATATAATGCTCATTTTCATGTCAGTATGTAGTGTCTCTACTGTGAAATGTCTCCATGCTTTAATGTTCAAAAAGTTCTTTATTGTTCTCATACTGCCTGTGCTGCAGCACCTCTTTTCACCCTCTGTCTGAAACCATTTTGAATTTACATCAATTAATGTTCAGGGATCACATTAATTATACAAGTCTGTGCTTTTCTTGTTCAGTTTCCTCCTTGTTCACTCTGTGTTCAGGGTGCTGAGGACTTAAGTGTTCAAAGTAAATATAAATGCAGAACACTGAGTGAGCTGCTTCTCTCTGATATACAGATAAGACAAAAGCTGAGGACTGCTATCAACTCAGAGTGAGGAAATAAAACACTGATGTCAGAGATTAGAGAATGAACGAACAGCATTTGGTGAAGAGGTATGGCGACATAAGGGAGGTTGAGAGGCAGTACGTAATGTCTTGAGGAATTTGTACATAGTTACTTTATGCAAAATACAACATTAAAGGAGGCGTGTGGCGCAATGGATAGAGCCTTGGTATGGGGATCAGATGGTCACAGGTTCAAACCCCACTGCAGTCAGCATGTCGTTGTGTCCCTGGGCAAGACACTTCACCCCAAATTGCTCCTGTGGGGATTGCCCACTGTATTGAGTATGTAAGTCGCTTTGGATAAAAGCGTCTAACAAGTAACATGTAATGTAATTAAAGTACATTGACCAACACAGGGAAAGATATTCCCAATATCCATTACAAGTGTCACAAAAAAACTGAACATTTCTAGTTGTTTCCAAATTCTATACACAATTTAAATGCATTGCTTTTGGGAAGTTTGAATTTCACAAAACTCAGATCTACTCATTTACACACATGATTTGCTTTGAATGTAAGTGTAGATGTACAGTACCTGACACAGAGAGCAGGAAGATAACTAATCCACTGGCTGCTGCAGTTAAACTCATAGCTGCTCCTCTCATCTCTGTGAGACTATAAAACATGTCAGATTAAATAATGTTCACAGGAGGTATACAGAATCATTACATCAATAAACTGTTTCTACTCACAGTGAAGGAGGAACGATATGTTCAAAGATGCCTTTCCTCTGTAGCAATGAGCAGAAGACGGATATCAGGCTGGTTAACATACACAATTACTTCCTTTTTAGATAATTAATATGCATGATGAGCCATATGCCAGTAACACCCATCACATAGGAAAGGTGGGTTTATCTTGCACGCTCAAAACATAACGAAACAGACTAAAGTCACAAGAAAAAACACTTTCTGCCAATATACCACTGACACCTGAAAAGAGCATTTTAAATGATAAGGGTAAAAGAGTTGATCTCTATGAGCACTGAGGAAGTCACACAGTCTGCAGGTGTAGTGAAGGAACAGGAATGCATTAACCTGTACTGTAAACCATGAGGCAGTGTAACTGAACAGGATGAAGAGAACTGTATTAATTATAAGAGAGAATGGAAAATTACATATCTTTGTTCTTGGTATGTCTTATCTCTGTGGTCTGGTTGCATTGTGTGATTCTCTGAACAGTTCCCTCTCTGTTCGCTCTGTGGTCAGGTTGCTGCTGAGCTAAGTGTGAAAAATAACAATAAATGCAGAGCACTGAGGTGTGAGCAGCTTCTGTCTGATATACAGATAAGAAAAAGAATAAGACTGCTTTAAACTCAGAGTGTGAATATAACACTGAGGTCAGAGAGGAGAGAAGGAACTAGAAGGGTTTGGTGCAGAGGTATGATCGATAAGAGTTGAGTCAATATGTTATGACTTAGAATAAGAATATCTACACAATTACATTTAAAATGTTTCTGGCAGTTTTACTAAAGAGGATGAAGAGCACAGTATTGATTATAAGAGAGAATGGAAAATTACATGTATTTTTTTCTTGGTTTGACTCTTATCTCTGTGGTCAGGTTGCTTCTAAGAAATGCAGAACACTGAGACAAACTTAGTGGCAAACCAACATGAACATGTCACCACATAATCAAGTGAACTGGTATGGTTAAGAAGACACATTATGGGGATATGTTGATGTTAATTAGAAAGACAATTTTAAATTACTTCGGCTTGTTTGGGTTGATAAGTTAAATAAAATGCAAGCAGATATGTCCTATATTTTAAATTGAAATAAAACGACCCGACACCATGCAGCAAACTTCATTATCAATTATCTGCATGTTTAGATACCAATGGAGGTAAGAGAGGACATAAGTATTTTTGTAATATGGGTTGACTGATCTTTTAAAACAGACGGTGGAGTGATACGGAGTGATGAAGCCTGAATGTGCCACACTTAAGATTTCCCACTAGAGGACAGTGAAACATCAGATACTGAATCAGGACCCTGAAACACATTTGATATCCATCAAGACTGCAGCATAGATTGTAGCTTAACCAAAACTATTTCCATCACTGAAGAGCAGGACTGTGTTAAGATCACTGTTACGGATTGCGGAAAAGGTAGGACCCAAAAGCAGACTACAAAAAAGATAAAGGTCTATAAACAAAAGCGAGCTTTATTTAAAAGCTGAAAAAACAAAAACATGGCATGAATCGAAAAACATAGATAGTGCAAGGTAAAACACACAAAACTGACCGTGACCAACAATGGAGGGAGACAGGAGAAACAAACAATTAACCAACGGGGAACACAGGAAGAGACAAGACTAAATACAGGGAGGGGTAATCACGAGACGAGAAACAGCCGGGCAGGGGAGGCAGAAACACAAGGGCAACAGGTGAACACAATCAGACAATCAGACACACCAGGGAAACTAACGACAGGAAGGAAAACACAGGGAGAAGGACCAGACAAGAAACAAAGAGGAAAACATGAAAAAGGGAGAACAGAACAGCAAAACAACACCCATAACAAGACATACAAAACTAAAAACGTGACAAAACATTAGGATCGTGACAGACTGTGGCTGCGCTGTGGTCACACACTTTACTCACTCAGTGATGGGGCACTTCAATATTTAAGTCTGCCTGTTTTCACCTTATTGGCAAATAATGGACTTTCATAATTTTTTCATCTGTTTGCAGTGTTCTTACCAAGTGGACGCATCCAATTCCAACTATTTTATCACATGCTATGGCATTAGTATGGACAAGGGTTGTGGTGAGTCTCTTTTATTAACTAAAATCAATACAGAACAGAACAAGAAAAAGGTAAACAGATTAAATACAGAACAAAGAAAAGATGAATTGCAACAGGTGTAAACACATGTTTATGTTTATTAAGGATCCCCATTAGCTTTTGCTCTTGACAAAGGCTACTCTTCCTGGGGTCCGACACTTAAAACAATACAACAATAATACAACAACATTCAAGACATGAAGCAAGATAGACAATTGTAACCAGCTCTGGAGGTTATATAATTAACAAAGTCAAAAAGTCAAAGTCAAAGTCAGCTTTATTGTCAAAAGTTCTACATGTGTTATACATCCAGAAATATCGAAATATCGTTTCCCGCAGTCCCACAGTGTGACATGTATACATAAAACAAAACAAAAAGGGCCTAGATAGATAACAATAACACAAGCATAAGAAAAATAAATACGGCAAACAAAGAATGTGGGTGAAATGAACATAAAATATAAATGTACCTGACTCTTGGAAAGTACAAGTAAAATACAGCTCTTTATTGAAGCCTAGTGGCAGCAGTATGAAATTGCTCTTAGAAAAGCTAATGCATGTTCACTACCATTACCCCAATGTGCTTTTCAATAGCAAAATGTTCATATATTGGTAGAAATATTAATACAAATATTTAAAAGATATCTTAAAACATAATATACTTATTAATCTTCAGGTTAAAGCATGTTATTTTATCCTGTGGGAGACGTATGGCACTCAATCCAATAGTAGCTGAGACATTTCTCATGAAAGGTCATCCTTCAAATCATTTAGAGTTATATTTGAGGAACCAATATTTGAGACAAATGTAAAGACAGTCCATCCAAAAGATGTGAAGTCATAAAAAGAAAACTCTTTAAAAGTATGAATCAAGAATTCAAGGCTTTTATTGTCATTCGTACATCGCTACAGTGCAGTTATGTCGAGGAAAATCTTAGTTCACAGGCTCCTCCAACATTGCAACACAATAAAACAGATAACATAGTGCAAGTAAATACAAATAAAAACGAATAAAATATAATAGAAATAGTGCAATCAGAGTCTATATACAAGTAATGTATGTGAACAACATTTTATGGCAATCTATCGAGTACTTGTTGAGATATTTCAGTCAGGACAAGAAGAAGAACATGGTGAAGAACTATTGTAGATAGAAAGGACAGAAATGTACTTAAAGAACAATGTAAATAGTTTATTATGAATACAATATAACTCTTTACTAATGCATAAAGCTTGCCATTCAATGTTAAATACAGCTGACCCAATCAGAGTAAAACAAAGCTGAAAACTGTTGAAATTATAAATAAATATAAGTTGTTCTAATATATTATTTTCTCTATGGGACATACTTGGTGAAGCACATCCTATATGTATTTTTAAAATATCCAAATTAACCTTGTTATTTAAGATCATACATACTATCAAGAAAATCCTAGAAATACAAAAAAAGCCATGCCTGCTGTGTTTATCTGGATTCATTGACCGTGCTGTACAATGCAGCTGGATCCTCTTCAGGGTCCTGCCCTCTGGTCCTGAGAAATACATAATATACCTCTTAATAATAATACTCATGCAAAAGTAATGAATTGATTTAAAGGTTATGTAATTTTAATCTTGTAATGAGGGCAATGTTCCTGTGTGAGGATCTGCTCACCTCGGGGCAGCACTGCTGAACTTGACGGCAGCGTACTCCGGGACTTCCTGTTGCTCCGTGTGTCTGAGGGGCCGAGCTGCTCTCATGTTGGAGTAAAGAGGGTCTGCCCGGTTGTTGAAGTGAACGGTGGCATACTGAAGGTCCTCCTGCTGCTCCGGCTGATCAGGTACACACTGCAGGGAGGAAAACACTTTCAGCTACACATTTTCACATTTAGTGTTGAATTTACGGAGGAATGCAGCCAGGACAGAAAAGGCCAAAGCAACAGCAGCTGTGGTAATGATGGAAAAATATCTCTGCTTCATCAACTTGATGCTGTATGACAGAAAAGATAAAAGATAGGAAAACTTATAGATTTACAAGGATTTTATTAAAATCAAAGATCAGAAGGGAATCAAAGAGATTGTTATAGAAATGTACTTTTTATAGAAGGATGTAAGAAGAGCAGTAAGAGGTCCTTCTCTGTCAGATCAATTTTCTAGAAGCATTTAAAGACCATGAAATACTCCATGTATACATTTAATGTAATGTGTTTTCTTTTGTACTAAATGTATCACATATCTATTCTCACCTCTTCCCTGTTGTCCGGTCGCTCTTCAGGTTCAGCAGTGTCCCTGCAAGCCCTCTTTTTTCTGGTTAGGAGAGTTTAAAAATAAATGATGAAATATTTGAGTTCTGATAAACTCACTTTCAGTTATTTAACAATCAACGATTAAGAGGAACAGATCTGCTCACCTGATCCACAGGAAGACAGAGAGAGAAATGACAGCCAGGAGAACAACAGGGATTGATACAAAAGGTAGTAGCTTCCATGATCCTGAGAAACAGAGATCTACAGAGAACAGACAGTTCATTAGGGAGGTGCCAGTTCACCTCCTGGGCCCTGCCCCCAACTGCTCCCTGGCGTCGGCTAAACTGGCAGCCTCCCTCTCTGGCCCTCTCCAGATGCATGTGCATGTGTATTCTGTATTGTGTGTGTATAACGGTGTGTCTATCTACTTGTATACCGTGTGTGTGTGTGTGTGTGTGTATTAAAAAAACAAAATACAAGCCAGAGTGATTAATAAAGGTTCAACTTCTTCTTCTTCTTCTTAATATGGATACACGGACCCCTAGGGTTACTTTGGAGTACTGCAGGGGGTGTGTGAGACTTTTTGTTCAACCATCTTATTCCTAAAATAATGATACTATATTAAGTACAAAAAAATAAGGTAAATAAACAACCCTTTTTAAATAGATAGTAAGAAAACATTATCTCACTAATGAGAATTATCTCCAGACACCATCCCCTGCTCAGAAAAAAAATCTTGAATATGACCTGACAAATCTCAACTTAATGTTGAATACAAAGACCTGCATTGCTAAGGTCTCATCACATTTAAAAACAATGGTTGTCAAAATATTTTGAACAGGACAATACCATCTGCAAACAGTGAAATTGCCGTCTACTGTAATGTCCCAATAAATGGGCACTGGACAGACTTTGGCTTTACCGTACTATTCTGTTCTCATGTAGGCAAGACAAACCTTCCATCAACATTGGGTGTGCTTGACTTAACTTCACAAAACAAACACAACTCTCACCGTGAGTATAGATGGAAAGACTGAGCCCCAAACTGCAATAAATTACGATGAGCCCTTAGTTATGTTACAGAGAGAAAACATCCTGACCCCTATCCCCAACCAAGAATTAAATGTGTAACCCACATTGTTTTATGCCTCAAGTCACGTGTGACTGAAAACAAACAAGCTGATACGTGTGTAGTAGTGGATGAATGCATAAAATGTACCTGTCACAACCATCAGATGAAAGGTGGAGTTACTACGTCCCATTTTGTTCTGGGCTCCACAGGAATAATTCCCGCTGTGTTCAGCTCTGAAGTCAGTGATGGTGAAGATCTGTCCTGAAGCTTTTGGAGAGTCTTCATCCTCCTTGTACCAGGTGTAGTTAGCTGCTGGGTTAGCATCACTGCTACAGGTCAGAGTCACTGAACTGCCCTCCTCTATCTCAGCAGAGGGACTCACTGACACAGAGGGGAGCTTTGGAGGATCTGGAGGAAATACAATAAATCAACAAAAATGTGTAAAAATACATCATGTTGAATTGAAATGAAAAATAGTTATCTGTGTGAGCATCTGAATTTCGAAATGTTTTTTGACAGGTATAGAGCTAAAGACAACAATTATGTTGTATACAAATGTCTTTTTTCTGTATTCCTTCTGGTTTGAATACACAGCAAACGTGCAGATTTGGGAGCCAATTGTAAATAAACCTGCATGTTCATCCTCTACTGTAGCTGCTCTCCATCTCATTGACCTACAACAGCAGACTGTGAACAAAGTTATAATTATTGCATGATGCTTTTCAAGTTAGCTTGGTTTTACTCACATTGCACATCAATAGAGAAGGATTCAGATCTTCTACTCCCCAGCTTATTCAAAGCTCTACAGTAATACTGTCCAGAGTCAGAGGACAGGATGGAGCTGAAGACAAGACGTGGTCCTTCATTGACAAAAGAAAGGTGTGCATTTGGATCTTTCCACCAGGTGTAGTTAGCTGCTGGGTTAGCATCACTGCTACAGGTCAGAGTCACTGAACTGCCCTCCTCTATCTCAGCAGAGGGACTCACTGACACAGAGGGAGGCTTTGGAGCATCTGGAGGAGAAAATATAAACTAATTTTCCATTTAATTCCACAGTGGAAGATATTTTAAGTGGACAATATTTTTAATAAAATACAAAGTGGCTGGTTACCTTGATTTCATCCTTTATCAGAAATTAAAACACGTTGACATCTTCTATGTTATGGAAGAAGTTTCCTTCATCATTCTCATTTATACTTTATATTCTTGACAGCAGCTCTTCTAGTAAGAGTATATTCTTCCCATTATACATAAGACATAAAGTATGTAAAATTCAGATTCACGAGGAGTAAGTATCTCAGTGTTGAAGATAGAAAACAGGAAATGAGCTTGGTTCAGTTTTTTTGGGACACTGACAAGTCTGCTGATGCCCTCTGGTGGGTAAACAAGACAATGAGTGCAATCATGTTATGTTAGTGGAAGACTTTGAGTAAACTCACACACTGAAGGAGAGGGGAAGTCCTCATATCCCTTCAAAGCACAGGAATAACTGTCTGCAGAATCATAACTGAAGTTTGCATAAGAAGATGTCTCTTCCTTGACTTCCTGTCCATTCTTAAACCAGATGTAAGAAGTATGACCAGGTGGACAACTGCTGAGACACTGAAGGCGAGTAGACGATTGTGATCTGTTCACCTGCACCTGGAGATCTGAATAAAGCTATAATTAACAAAACTGTCATTATGTTCATACATAAATATAAATAAAAACATTCACGCTATTTGCAAGAAGTGGAAATTAAGAAATGAATTGTTATAACTCAGTTATTGTTATAAACCCAGTGTAAATGTTACCTGTAACAGACAGAGTGGTTCCAGGATTACCCCAGTATGCAGCTTGATTTGTTTTGAACCTGAACCTGTACACAGCTGAGTCGCTCTCTCTCAGGTTTCTGATTCTCAGAGTGCAGATGTTGTTTTCACAGCGATTCTCTACACGACCTGAATACTCTACAGATTCAGGCCTAATCCATTTAGTAAACCAGAATGTTTTCTCTACTTTGTTATGTCTGCGTTTCCATTTGGATGGGTATCTGTAGGTGCATCTTATCTCCACTGTTGATCCTTTCATTGCACAGATCTCAGTAGAAGTGTAAGTCACTCCCCAGCCACGCTGACCCTGAACAACTGTAACACAGAGCACATCCGACACCACAATGAAAATTAAAAACTTAAGTTAACTATGAGTTAATGAGACATAGTGGATCGTAATACTGATATAATTTGAGGGAAAAGTAACTTAGACGGTTTCAAGGTCCTCGATAATCAGCATTATTCGCCATAAAAATGTTTTCATCATGCATCTAAAGTATATAGCTGCTGTAGAACTGAACTACAATAGATATCTATCAAAGTTAATCATATTTTTATCAATTTTGAGACGTAGGAATAATTGCTTCATGTTAGGAATTTGCTCCTTTTAATCAACATTTTGTTTCAGAAATTGACTAGTTCCTAATACATTTCAGAAAGATACATTAAGCACACTTTTCTCAGATATAGCAGAAACTGAACATGTAATTCCTTCTTATCCACGTATAACCGCTGCAAATTATACTTTGAAGATTTTTTAAAGCTATTCCTGAATTAAAATAAATAAATGCAGAACACTGAGGTCTGAGCAGCTTCCGTCTGATATACAGATACAAAAAGAAGAAGTTTGCTGTAACTCAGAGTGGAAATACAACACTGAGGTCAGCGAGCAGAGAAGGAACTATAAAAGCGTTTGGTGCAGACGTATGGTGACATAAGAGAGGTTGAGACACAAAACGTCATGTCTTAAGTAATTTGTACACAGTAACTTTATGCAAAATACCAAAATAAAGGATATTGACCAACACTAGGAAAGATCGTCAAGTGTCACAACAAAAAAACTGAACATTTCTATACACAATTTGATAGCATTGTTTCTGGGAAGTTTGGATTCCACAAAACTCAGAACTACTTATTTCCACACATTATCTGCTTTTACAAGTCGCACACTTTCCTAGATGTCCCTTTCCCTTTACGTGATGAATGTAAGTGTAGATGTACAGTACCTGACACAGAGAGCAGGAAGACAACTAATCCACTCGCTGCTGCAGTTAGACTCATAGCTGCTCCTCTCATCTCTGTGAGACTATAAAACATGTCAGATTAAATAATGTTCACAGGAGGTATACAGAATCATTACATCAATAAACTGTTTCTACTCACAGTGAAGGAGGAACCATGTGTTGAGAGATGCCTTTCCTCTGTAGCAATGAGCAGAAGACGGATATCAGGCTGTTAAGAGATTTACTTCCTCTTTAGACGATTAATATGCATGATGGGCCAAATGCCAGTAACACCCACTGCACAATAACGTGTTTTCTTTTTTTAAATATAAACTTTTGGTTTGAAACCTATTTTGATTTCATTTCTCTTGGTTTGTTTCTTCTCTGTTCTCTCTGCCGTCAGGTTGCTTCTGTTTGCAGAGAGATGCTAAACACTGAGATGTGAGAAACTGACATGCCTGTTAGTGGCAACCCAACATGAACACACACATCACACTCATAATAAAAAGGACTGGTAGGACTTTATCAACAACACGTTTCACTTTAGCTCATGTCACAGATATCAATATGACAGTTTCACTATTTGTTATCCATTTGAAGAAAGCTATAATACCCTTAAAGAGGCTGTTTAGTGTCATGCTATTACTTTGCTGCTGTCTGACTTCATTCTTCCTCATTCTTTGATATCAATAGACTAAGAAACAAAACTGTGTTGTCCTTTATTGCACATGCTTTAGCTTTAAAATAATCCATGCATCTATCTGTGTGGGCAGTTGTTTGCCGGAAATGGTTTGCAACTGCCTGTCTTGGTGATGTTTTATTAATTTGTGGCAGCTAGTCGTATTTAGTCTTTCCTTTCATTGTGGGGGAAACTTCTGAAGCATTTGGAGACAGGACTCAGAGAGACACGAGGAGAGCTGGAGCTTTGATGGCAAACACTGACGGTTTATTTGGAGCTTCGGCCGGAGAATTCACAAGACATGTCAAAGGGTCACGGTCTGACCACACGGTTGAGATGCCACAATCAATTCTGAAGAAAACTTCCTCTGGTAGATGTTTTAAACTAGTTTGCTCAGGGTAATCAACATTATTCACTAGATAGACTAAACAGCTGGGGACACTGAATTACTTGCAGAGCCTCGAAGATTTCACACCTTGGGTTCATCAAACCCCGAGAAGGAAGTGTTCCATATGTCCCCATAACAATAAACTATCTCTGACCGAGAGTTGCCCAGTCATAAACTGGTAACAACAACAAATGGCTAAGGCAGCCCCTCCTTAAGGGATATAACAGTTGCCAAGGTTGGTCATCTGCGTCAGAGGGCAAAAGGTAAACATGTATGGACAATTATTCCCTGACATTCATGATATCATTACAGTAAAGAAAAAACGTTATGGGTGTGGGTTGACAAACAAAACTGCACCTACAGTTAATTCTTTACATTTTGAAACACAAACAACATGTTATTCAATCCCTTTTCTACAGGCTTTAGCCCTAAAATGATCTTTGCATCTTCATGTGTACAGTTGTCTTCACAGTGGCACAGGTGAAGGTGTGCAGCTGCCTCTCACACAGCTCTACAGCCTGCAGGAGTTGACAGAGAGTTCCTCTGCAGTATCATGGAGGCTCTTGCATTTAGCTTGCAGTTCAGGACTGCTGGAGCACTCTGCAGGCGTCGGCCAGCGCTCCACCCAGGTGTCCTTCCCCAACATGTAGATGAACCTGACGGACAGGGAGGAAGGAGACAAGTTCACACAGTTTAGTTGTTTTACTCCTTGAGCTTGAAGTTAGAAGATGTGCAAGAAATTGGGAAATTATCTGCTACAAATAGCTCAAGTAGGACGTATAACCATTGTTTCATTGAGAAATGTTGATCAGATATTTAGAAAGCATGGCTATAATCAGGTGTGCACATAACTTTTTGAGTGAGTTACTCAGATGAGTACCAGGAGACAGCGTTTGGTACTCACCCCACATGAAGCGTGGTGTTAATAAGTGCAGTCTTCCTCACTGTCCTCCTCAGTGTCTCCTTCACTGTCCTCTATTTACACTTCTTGCATGCTAGATGATGAAGATGATGAAGATGCACCTCCCTGTCTCTTTGTAAGCATCCAATTTGCTTTCTCCAAAACTTGTTGCCAAAACTGTGAAGTCCTTGCATTTCCTGAGGCCAAGTTGAAGGATCAAATACTAAGAAATTATCACATGACTTGAAGTCATATCTGATTTCAGAGGTGGGAAGTAACAAAGTACACTTATTCAAGTACTGTACTTAGGTACAATTTAAGATACTTGTAGTTTACTTGAGTATTTCTATTTTATGCTACTTTGTACTTCTACTCCACTACAGTTCAGAGGTAAATCATGTACTTTTCTTCCACTACATTTATTTAATACCTTTAGTTACTTTACAGATGTGGATGAATGATGTGAAAATATAATCAAGTGTTAAATCAGACTTTAGTTCCACCTGGAGTAAATTCACAAGCTACCCTGCAGTATACAAAGTCATTCAAACTAATTTTTAAACACTTTAATGATCAATAATTATAAAACATATCACATACATTATTATGAAATGGACCAATCTGCACAATGACTACTTTTACTGTCGCTACTTTAACTAGATTTTGATGATAATACTTTTCTAATTTTACTTGAGTAACACTTCATCCACCTCTGTCTGATTTCAAACTCTTCCATTAACAGCCTGAGTAAGTTTGCAGCTGTGTGTTTTACTCCACTTTGTTGTAAATAAAACTGCAGCAGCTTGACCACAGAGCGTGAAGGTTGTGATCAGCTGATTTTGCGCAGTTCTCCAGTGTGTGCGCGGGGCACAGAATGTGCACAGGGGAGTCTCCCTCGCCAGTTGACGTAGTTTTGGTACAATTCTGTTGTACACACCGACGTTAACAGCAGCCCCGTCTGTGCACACGGCGACCAACTCTGTCGTCCAGTGATCTTAGCCTCTGCCTCCTGTGAAGCTTCACAGGTCCGTCGGTTATGTCCTGCGCGGCACGGCCAGCACCCAGTTCAATCAGTCATAGAAAGTCTGAAGATTTTAGCAGGGAGCGAAACGGCAAAGTGGCTGCTTAATGTCTTTGTTTTTTTTGGACATGTCTAATAATTTACTCCACTGAGTGTTGACAAGAAACATGTGTAGGCGAAATATGTGTTTTGTTTTGATGACCTATCAGGTACGCAAAGGCGCGTTGTGACACAAGTGACGTTACTCATTTCAGATTGTTGCCGCGCATGCGTACCTGCGTACCAGTTATGTGCACCCCTGGCTATAATACTCTAACAGGAAAAATCAATGTAATGTTTTGTAATGTCTGAGCAGGCTTGGGGATTGATTTTAACGGAATAATCAGGATACAAAATAAAGGAACTGTATTCCCTTACAATAACATAAAAAGAGATGTAATCAGATTACTGTTACATTTCTAAAACTAGCAGGATAAAAAAGATCATATAGTGTTTGTTGTAAAAGGATCAGATGTTATCTCTTCTCTGAAAGCTGTACTGTTTTTTGTACTGTTTTTTGTACTGTTAAATATTCTCAGAATCCAGAAATTCTTAAGATTCTGACTTCCTGAATTTTTTTATAATTCTAACTTTTTCTGATTTATACAAATTCTGACTTATTTTTCTAGAATTCTGATTCAGATTTTTACTCAAAATTTCACTTTTTTTTTAATTCCTGACTTTTTATATAATTCTTACTTTTTTTTGGAAAAATTCTAAGTGGATCAGATGTTATGTCTTCTGTTAGCTGTACTGTTCTGTAGGCTCATACTTTAAGTGTGAATCTATACTTCTACTGCCTGAATCTGCTTTATGGTTTTCACTTTCTTTGGTTCATTTGTTCTGTTTCTAATTCAGCAGGTGAACCTATATGTTCATAGGATAGTCTGTGTGAGCTTAATACACTAGTACGTGCTCATGTGTTTCAGTGCTGGTGTATAAGCTGCTGCCTGAATATGCTGAATGAAAGGCAGGTTTTCCTATCAATACAATTATACTGATCCTAAATATCTTGGTTTCTTCTTTTCTAAGTTCTGTTGTCTTACATAATACACTTAGTAAAAAACATCTTATTGTTATTTATTTGCATCACATTTGGTATTTAGGTTTACATCACTTTTATAGTATATTACTTTTTTCATAATAAAACATCACAGAACCTCAACTTCTGGACGGACTTAACGTGTCAAAGTGATGAGACAAACTTACACTCTTAGTAACTTCCTTTATTAGAAGTTGAGTAGCTACACATATTTTATGCAACAGGTGTATTTAATGTGTTTCTCACCTGTTGGTGTCAGAGTCGATGTTCCACTGGTCCTCTTTGGGCCCCATGACGAGGTACTGGGAGCCCTGCTGCAGGTTCAGGTCATCTCTGCAGCCTCCGTGAGACATGAAGACCCTCTTCTGACCCACCTCAACTCCAGACTCCACACCTGGAGGGAAGGGGGAAGAGGTTTAGATAAAATGAAGCGGCATTGTTACATAAAACTATATAGAAATCGTCTTATTTTGTGTGACATATTCCCCTTTAAGTATTTTAATTAGTTGTGTCCTTCTGTTATGTTTTGCTCAGAATCCCTAAATTAACAAACAGAGCTGTTGAAAGACGCATACTCACCCAGCTTGATAACTTTTGTGATCTCCATCTCGTATTTGTCGTAGTAACTCTGGGTGACATTCAGCACCTTCATCTGGAAAACTGTACACAATAATAAGGTGTTAATGTTTCCCTATTTATAATTACGCCTTTCACAGCGATGCCAATACATCTGTTTGTCCCATTTGTGGACCGTTCCTTATGTTTTTCCCTAATATATCTTCTCCTGACAGTAGGGTAGAAGTTGTCAAATGTATACAGGAAATAATGCATCCCAAAAAGCACATCATACATTTCTACTTTCCACAGCCTAATTATAAATGCTGCAACAAATAATTGTACTAGTTGTGCGTTCACAGAGGGAAAATAAGTGAACGTTCAGCGCTGCGAGATTACAAGCCAATGGAAAGTCGCCAAAATCTCCCTGGATGGGGCAAATTACACGAGTGATGCAAAATTCATTCATGTAGTTATTTCAGCATCGTTTTAATACGTGTATTGCAATCAAATCAATGCTAAATGACTTAATTTAGTGTTCATACAGCTGTAGAAAACAAGATTGATTCAGGTTACTTGTGACTCACTTTAGAAAGGGATCATACCTCTCATTGAGCACATGACTAATGAACTCAGGCAGCATGGCTTCCTGAAGTATCTGTGACTTCAACACTATGTACAAGGCAGGAAACGTGGAGATTTGGCCATGGCTTTTAAACATTGTTTTAGCTACATGGAGATAAGCCCCGCCTCCTTGCCAATGCGTCTGTTTAAGTGACAAGAGGTAAGGGTTTCGCTTAGCAGCGGGAGTGAACACACCATTATACTAGCCAAAAACTAATTGAACACACATTAGTAGCTTGAGAGTGTAACACCTTCAAATTTAAATTGTTAAACTTGTATACATGCTAGATACAGCCATTGTTTAATCAAGAGCTATTAATCTTTTTTACATTTGTATTGAAGAATATTATTGATACTTTTTTCTGTATTTCATCAATCTCATATAGAGTGGTGCAGTGACGCGTCCCAAAACCCGGAAGTAAGCCGCGCATGGGTTCCCTCGACAAAAAAGCAATGGGATTTCTCCATAGGGTTTTGGAAAATAGCTCGAAATAAGGTCTGTGGAAAACGAACCTGTTAGATAAATGCACGTTTTGTTCAGCCGGATAATATCCACATGTCTACCCTACTTTTATAATTTTCGAACCATAAATATAATCGATAGATTTATGATCGATATTTTTATGATTAGAAAATTATAAAAGTACTTCGGGGTTTTAGGACGCGTCACTGCACCACTCTATTATCCTCTAATTTAAAATACTGTAATTGATCAAGACAACACATTTAGGGCGAATCAATAATAGTGTCATAAGTAGGTTTAATGCTCCAGTTTTTCAATTGAAAAATATAAATTGGGTTGGTTTTAGACCCTTAATTGCAATATTGTAAAAGCTTTTGACTGGTTATAACACAATGAAGACTTGAGACTTGTTCTGACCAAAGTTAGCATCAGCAGTATGTGTGTGTGTGTGTGTGTGTATGTGTTGTGTATGTGTATGTGTGTGTGTGTGTGTGTGTGTGTGTGTGTGTGTGTGTGTGTGTGTGTGTGTGTGTGTGTGTGTGTGTGTGTGTGTGTGTGTGAGAGAGACACCATCTCACCGTGGTGGAGAGTCGTGCAGGCAAACGTCTCTCTTTCTTTGTTCAGGAAGTTTTCACTGTCGCTTTTTGGAGTGCAGCAGTCACCTGGAGATTAGGATCATTTTAAAACATGTCTATGGACACCATTAACACACAAAAAACATGGTTAGTGAGGAATCAGCTCTGTCAACACGGAAGCAATCTCTTGCACTGCCTGTGCCGTAACCTGTTGCTATCTTCTTGCTATGTCAAGATTCAAAGGTTTATTGTCATATCATATACACAACTACGGTGCAGTATGTAATGAATGACAAGCTTGGGTCACAGATTCCTCAACAACGCAATTACAAGACATAACGCAATTAAAAAAACAACAACAGTTGTTGTATGTTTTGTTTTATTGTTTTTGTATTAGCATTTCCAGTATTGTTGCATGTTTTCACTGATTGTATTCACTTGATTGTTATCTTAATTTATTTTTAGTTTTTTAGGGTGACTTACATCTGTCAGGGGGACTACATATGAAAAAATAGCATTTTGTCTAGAGATAGAGCAGACTCGTTCACACTTCACCCTGCGTGCAGCGGCAGACGTTGTCTCTGCAGATCTGAGCGAGCTCCTCTCTGTCCTCCCTGGGAGTGTAGGTGTGAGTGCAGCGGTGATCTGACAGAGAGCAGAGACATTTTAAACATATTTTCTAAACTTGAAAAGGGTCATATTATATTTTTTTACTCCATTGCAGAGATATTATAAACAAAACAATATTTAAAGAACAGAGGATGTATTCTGAGTTCTGCAGTAGTTAGATGTAATCTGTGCTGGTCAGGATGTTACCTGGGTTGTAATACTCGTAGACGGTGACTGAGGACGGTTGCAGGAGGCCCACTTTGAACCTCTGCTGCAGCCTGAAGATCAGGATCTCTGGCTCTTTGTGAGACACCTGACACGAGGAGAGAGGAGAAAGATCATTTAGTGCAACAGAGAAGATAAACAAACATTACAGACAGTTTAGCAAGCTTGAGTTCCATCGTATGGACCCCCAAAGAGCTGATTTACTGACTTTTCGGTATAACAGTGCTGTCTACAGTTCTAAAAGTAACTTTCTTTGGATTTTCCTAAGCAAAGTTATCCAGATAACTCATTAAACCTGCTTATAAGAAATGACACATACAAATTGACATTAATCATTTTATTATGGAAGGACACCTTTAATTGTGCACAAACTCCCTCTCTTTGCAAACAAACCTTGAACAGGTGGATGATCAGAGAGCCTCTTTCACTCAGGTTATCAACGATCTTGAAGTCATTGATGTAATGGTCCACAGAGTTTGACAACTGGACAAAAACACACACATATACACAGAGTTAGAGTGAGAAACCTGGAACTAAACATGTGAACCGTTTCATCTGAGCTCTCATTTATCATAATGCAGAAACTTGGTTTTATCTTCTTAAAGGGATTTGTTGGGATGTTTTATTGGTATTCTGTTCTCAAGACAAATAAATAACCCTAACAGTGACTGACAGCATCACAAAGCATTTCAGCCACTTGCTCACGAGTCTGCTTGAATTGTGTCTTTCTTTGCAAGGATTAAAAATAACTATATATAATTAATCAAAGTTTATTATAAAAATTATCTATGAATGTTACATATTTGGAAATACACTCAACACTTTAAACTGGATGATCTGAAGGCAGATTACCCTCTCCAGGTCGGAGTTTTCTGGAGTAAAGCCGGTGGGCAGACTGATATCCAGAACCACCATCCGGACATCTGTAGGTCCTAAAGCCCTGTGGGGAAAAATCTGGATTATTTGAGTATTTATCTTCTTCACTTTTAGTAAGTAGTAAGTAAGAAAAAGGTTAAGACATTAACACAAACTCACCGCACTTTGATGGTGATCTGGTAGGACTTTTGTACATCTACTGGAGGTGTTTCTGTTACGGAAGGTTGGGTTGGTTATTAGTGGACTTTCGTTTACATATTTATATATTGCATTTGGGTAGGATATAGTTTGTTATTTAATTGTATTGTGTTAAAAATTATGTATACATTAATACAATGTAAGTTAGAAAATTATAATGTTTTACCACTGGATTCTTCGATGTTGACTTTGAGCTCAAAGTCCTTGCAGGGCATTTTTTCATCCACCTCATGCAGCTGGTTGTAATAAGTCACAACCTGGAATAAAACAAATCAAGTTTAATGGACGGACACAAGAGAAACCTATTAATAAAAGCTTTGTAGTTAAAAAAAAACACAAACACAAAAAAAACACTTCCTGACAGATTTCTGTGTTATGTTATGTATGGGTTTACCATCATTTTAAACTTAGTGAGTTATACAGACCCAATCTTCACTGACCCTTTTATTATAAATCATGGAGACCATGGAGTCTCTTTAAGTTGATCAAAGTACTCACATCTTCTTTACAGTAGCTCCTCTCTTAGCCCTTGCTATGTATATATATATTTATGGTAAACTATCATAATAAATGTGATCATACCTCCAGTATTCCTTGTCCATTCCCTTGAGCCTGCACTTCCAAATCCATACCAGCAGGCAGCTACGGAACAAAAGCACCAGAGAAGAAGAGATTATAAGTAAAACAAATGGAAAATACACTTCCTGATGTTGTCATTGCAACCAGTGGTGCCATTATATTTAAAAAAAGAAAAAGTCCTTCAAGATGACAGTTTGATGTGATTATACTCAACTGTGAGCTGGGCTGAGTTTCTGAACATCAATAGAGAAACACCCTGATACACTCAGTTTCTTCTACTCATGAACTATCCTGGTTTAACATGTAGTTTCATGTCTCTCACCCTGGAGGAGCGAGCAGCGTAGGAATTCTCGGGGTTGAAATGGTAACGGATTTCCTTGCGTCCTCTTAACCTGACGTCCACGTCCAGACTGAGGTCAGCAGGAGGAGGTTTGTGGATCAGGTACTCTGACAGAGCCTGAAGCACCACCATGGTGGACTGGGAGAGCATAGAGAAGAGAGGAATTTAATTTTCCAGTAACGACGTCTTCTGATCTTGACGATGAGATCTTTTTAATGTTAACATTATTTAGTAATCATTTGTGTGGATTTCAGGAATTAAGAAGAGCAAAACTTATTTTCATTCCATGTCTGAGCCCAGTCTGCTCTGATTGGTTAGCAGGCCAGCTCTGTTGTGATTGGTCAACCGCTTAGAGATGTCCTGTAGCCTATCATGTACAATGTGTTGGAGCGCTAGTGTTCCATAGTGATGTAATTAAGTTACAGAATTAAGAATCCAATATTTCTGCAACTTCTACTTACTTTCTGCATCTTAGAGGGAGACATTGAACCTTTTTTTAATACAGTAGTAAGAACATCTGTAAGAAGATGGGTTAAGATACAACTTTATTGTTCCCTTGTTGAAATGTAGAAGCTACCCTGCAGTAAATGTAGTACACAATAACACCACAATTAAACATTTTGATTTGTGACCGTTTAAAAAGAAGTGTTGATTCAGCTGTAGGAATTTTGAGGGCTCTAGTTTGTCGTGCTGTTGGACTATTTTGCATTATCTAGACAAAATAAAGCCCCTATCAGTGGTCGGTAGCCTAGAGCAGGTAAATTAACCTGAAGAAGACATTTCTGGATTTGCAGATCCCAGGTCAGCCAGCAGACTCTCCCTGCTGTTACCTGAGTGGAGCCGAACCCCCCTCCTATCCTCCGCTGGCTGTTCAGCCATTTAAACGGCGCTGCAGCTTCCTCCATGCGTCCCAGCTTGACCAGAGCCAGCAGGGCGTAGCCGGTCCCCTCCAAGGTGAACAAGGTGTTCTTACTGTCGGGCCAGTGGCTGCCACCTGCAGGAGACAGGAAACAGTGAAGGGGGAATGCAAAACAGAAGCACCGTGTCAGCGAAAGAGAACAACAATTTTATAAAATGAATGAATAAAGAGGTAACTAGCTGTCATTGCAAATAACATCATGGGTGGAATATGAACAATGGGCACAGACAACGAGACTACTAATCTGCACAAGTTTGAATGTGGTAACATTTATGTTTACTCAAGTCACTAACTAGACACACTTGAGAGAAGGCGGGGCTTATCTCCATGAATATACCAACAAATACAACAAAATAAACTTGTTTTGCCGTGATTTAATTGTAATACACGTTTAAAAATGATGCCGAAATAACTAAACACTGATAAGTAAAACCATGAATTAATGCTTTGGCATATCTACGGAAGGCAAAAACGTTTAAAATGTGTGTTAGAGATTGGATCGATTAGGCTGTGTTATAGCTTCTACATCCATACTCAAAATAACGTCATACAGACATGAATAAAGCAGCAAATTAATTTGCCTTGCCATATGTATTTCTATGCAATGATTTTTCTCCAATTTCTGAACAGATATGAAGTACTGTTGGGCTCTATGTGCTGTTGCTCAGAGCTAACAGCTGATACTTTGTTTTGATTTTCTGATTCCACGTCAGGGACGACATTACATTACATTACATTTAGCTGACGCTTTTATCCAAAGCGACTTACAATAAGTGCATTCGATTAGTACATTAGTACATTGTTAGTAATTCTATCGCTCGAAGTGGAGTCAGGCTGAGATTCTCACCACTGATTGGCTTTCACGAGACAGCCTCATAGGAATTTCTCCCTTGTGTTTAACTCGCGCCACGTCATTCATCGACCCAGTGTGAATGGTGTCTTCGCATTGACTTTACAGGCTATTAAGCCGCAAAATAAATGTGCTCGTGTCCGTTGCAAAAACACCAATAAAGCAAGATACACAGACTTGTGTTGTTAAGCCTTTGTTGTTGTTTTGTAGGAATCTTTCTGTGGTTTTGTGTTTTATATTTGTTATGTGTCATTTTATGTCTTTTTGAAGTTGTTTTATGTTTCCTTTTTTTTCTGGCTGGTAGTTGTCTCTTTGAGTGACAATTTGGCCCTGAAGTCTTAGGGTTATGCCCTAAGAGGGATCTCTCCAAAGGTAGGATCCTTCATAATGTACAAATGTAATGTGTGAGTATATGAGCTACCTGGAGCTGCAGCACTGAGTAAAGATTGTGTTGGGTTGTAGTTATGATCTTTCCCCAGCAGAGCCAGTGCGTAGGAGGCGATGGCCACAGTGTACGGCCTCCTCCCCGTCGTCTCCAGCGCTCTCTTCAGGTATTCAGCTGTCTTACTGAAAAGTACCTGCAGCAGACAGACATGTATGTATTTAAGAATGACTATCACCCTGATAAAAAGCGATCTAAAGGAAACAGACACCAGGGAACCAACTCAGCAGGTAATACCATTTCAATAAAACCAATGCAGCTGATCCTGGCCTGCTTGGCCTCAGTGAGGGCTACCAAGACGAAGGCGGTCAAGGTTATCTCGGGGTCATCTCCACGCAGGCCGCCCTGGAGACACAGGAAAATACATTTTTTTATCAAAAATGTTTAAAACTCGAATGGTGAGTTTAGTTAAAAAAATCAACTCACAGCATCAGTTCTTTCAAATCCCTAAGATCAGATCAAAGATTAAAAATAAAATGCCCCTTAAGTTTCCCAGAATGCGCAAACTAACAATTACTTAAAACTCCAGTAAGTTGGCTGCATTGAAGCCTGGAAAAGTATGTGCCATGATGTGAATTATCCTAAATAAAAAAAGATAGAAACACCAAAAAGAAGCAGCAGAGGGTATTTAGTTGCTTATTTAGAAGGATATTTTTTGTCTGAGATATAAGACAAGGCAAAACAATGACAGGGAGGGAAATGGTGAACAGAATGTGTGGAGAAGATACATCAGTTAGTTTTAGGACTAACATGGTGTATTTGTGTGTCTCACAGTCATGGTGGTGCTGTAAACTGGATTGTTCTCTTTAAAGGTCCCTCTGTCCACAAATGTCTTCCTCGAAAGGTAGCGCAGGGGGTCGCACACATCCTTCTCATTGATGCCAACAATAGAGTAAGCCATGGAGAAAACTTTCACCGTGTACGCCGTGATCCTGAAAGTCAGGTGGACTGTAATTAACCATATATCACACAACATATGACACAGAAAAATATACAAGGTATTTCTACAGTATATCATATCTGATTGCAGCTTAGTGAAATATATTTGCATTGATGAGTTTAAATCTTTACAATATTGCATTGGCTCACTTTATATCAGATATCTCATACATGTCAGTTTACAAAGAAGAACGTATTTGAATTTTCATTATATATCAGCTCATGTGTTTGGAAGTTAAAGTCAAATGTAAAATTTGAGCGTACCATGTACTTGAACCCATCTTCCTATAGGGGGGGTAAGAGCCATCTCTCTTTCTGAATGCCAGCTGTTTCTGATAGCCTTAAAAAAATGAAAGAATAAAGATATGGTATGTGAAGGAGCGAAGTTTTGTTGTTCCAAAATGATCTGCAGTTCATCCATCAACAATCCATCCATGTATCCAACTATTTTTCTGATCTGACAATCCTAACCTGATCTGTTTGTATTAATCCATTCATACATTGAATCCATGTATCGAAATAGCCATTCAGCCTTCCGTCTTTCAAACCAACCAAAGTAATATATGAATTGAACATGCAATTATCCATCCATCCTTGTTTCCTCTCTCCATCCATCTATCCGCCCGCCCATATAACAGACTCTCCATTTATTCATGTATTCCAATGTTCATGCATCCATTCAACATTACATCCATTTATCCAACCGCAAATCCTTCCAAAAATGTTTCCATCTTTCTGACCATTCTTTCAAAACAATCCACCCATGTATCTATCAATCCATACAATCCAACTATGTACCCAAGTATTCATCCATCCATGTCCTCTTGTATCCAATGATTTATCCATCTATTCCTATACATTAAGATCAGTCCATCCACTTACTCAAAAAATAAAAATTCCCCCGTCTGTCCATCCAAACAAACACCAGTCCATTCAAATTATCTTTCTCTTAATATACATTCATTTAAATTGTCTTGAATAATCTATTTGACTTTTTTGTATATCATTCATCCATCTCTCATTCCTCCACGTGTTTCCTTCCCTCTCTCTCACCTCTCCTGATGTAGCGGAGAGCCTCAGCTTTGCGCTGCACCCCGACACTCTCCCAGCTGTCGGTGGTATCCAGGTAGAGGGTGGCGATGAGCGGCAGAGTGATGCTGGCCAAGTTCTGCTCCACACAGCCGCCGGGCATCCTGATCAGGGAGGCCAGAGAGTCCTCGCTGATGGAGTTATCAATGCTGTCTGCCAACACATTGCCTGGAGGGGAGAGGAGGAGTCAGGAATGGGAGAATTACAAGTTCATATTTTGTCCTTACACCAGCTCTGACATTGACTTACCTCTGACATTGATGAACGTCTCTGGTACAGATTTCGGCACAACAGACTTCAGGTTGGCCATAGGCACACGAACCGTCTGAGTTCCTGTTAAGGGAAACCGAGACATAAAGTTAAACTTCATGACTTAAAAACCAAACCTGAAGATAATCCAAATCATTCTTTACCTCTTCTCCTTAGCATTCGAAACCAAGTAGATTTTATTAGACGTTTATTATGGTTTGTTTTGTGTTACCTTTTATGTCATTTTATACTTATTTTTATGTTTTGTGAGCTGAGCTGTGTGATTTTATATTGTATGTATCTCTCTGTACAGCACTTTGGTCTGGAGGTTTTAAAGTGCTTTATAAATAAAGTTGGAGTGGATTAGATTTAATTTCCGAATATGTAAATTATAAAAGATGTTCAACATGCATAATGGTGTTTAAAACAATGTGTACATGGATAAAGAGAAAAACGTTTTAATTAGTCTTTTCAACTCCTTTTAAGTTGAGAAACCATGTTAAAACTAAATTATATTAATGTGACGTAGTTGAAAATAAATGATGCATCACTGTTATCTCCTTACCTCCCTCAGCTGCTGGGTTCAACACGGCACTCCAAACTTCCGTCTTCTGCACTCCATCCATCTGTTGGGGAAAGATTTTGGATTTAAATTTCTAACATAGTAAAATCTTACTTACGTTTAAATAATTGTAAGGTGTATTTATTGTACACTGATATTAAAGCAGGTAAAAGCATTTTTTTTAAACCAAGAATATCAAAATTCCTGTTTTTGCAGCTGAGGATGTTTATAAAACTAATAAACCTCCTAAAGGCTGATTGAGGAGAAATACTTTCTGGCACCCCTTAAAATCCTACCCTGATTATTGACTGCTATCCCATCTTCATCATCAAGATCTACTCACCACCACATTTAGAAGTTTCTGGATGCAGTCTGATCCCATTGCGCCTCTGGCTACCACCATCACCTCCAGAGGGAGTTTCCCCACCACCAGCGGTACGATGGTGTAAGGCAACGCAACAGAAGCACCAGCTGCCAGCGTCACTTCCTGTGTGTGTCTGTCTTTAAAGGCAATGCTGCACATGCCCTCTGTCTTCATCAGAACCACCCTCACCTAAACAGAAACAATCACAAGATGTATTAATTCAAGACTTATTTTATTGAATACATTTTGAGTGGAACCCAAGCATATTGTTTAAGCCTTAAAAGCAATTAGTGATTCCCAGAATTGTTTTCTATCGCCACCATAAGACTTACCTTTGATGTTCTAGAGAAGGTAACATTTCTGGAGTCAACTCTTGGAGTGGATTTCCAACACAATTGTCAGTAATTCTTTGCTATACAACTCAAATGTAACTTTAAAATATAACTATTTAAATGTACCTTTAAAAAAACAAAAATATGTCATCATCTTTCAAGTAGTGACAAACCAAAGAAAGTAAGGCTTTCCAAAAAGTTGTAGGGTGAAACCTTAACTTATTACAATCCCTTTTTTACAAAAACTATTTAATAAAATATATGTATTTTGTCTATATCGTAAGATTCCAAACAAAAATAGATGAACACAGAATACATTACACAATTTAATCATCTTTTCTGATATTAGCTTTTAGCAAAAAAGTGTGCCTTACTACATCCTTAGAGAGGTTATAACTCTGCGTTAGTATATGTTGGTAGTGCGTGAGGCCATATGTACAGATATGTACATGGGACATGAAAACAGTGCATCTCATATTGACAAAAATAAACCTCGCTAACCGAGTTTTCCAAATCACTCTAAAAATAAGCCGTTGTGATACACGTGTAGACAACATCTGCAGAATCATAAATGATCATTACATTGGGGTCATTAAACCATTATTTCGCTAAGATAAAAAACATTAAAGTTTTGGATTTTAGTGTAATTCACAAATGTTCCACCAGATGGTGCCACACACACCCAGGGGGAAAAGATGATATATTAACCCAGTAATAAGTGGCCAAAATATGGGTACATTAGTGTTTAAAGTCGGGGGAACTGTTTTAATTCAGGACCAGGGTGAAAAGATAACACATTTACCCAGGAATAATTGTCTGAATCATGGGTATATTAGTGTTTAAAGCCGTGGGAAATGTTTTAATTCAACAGGAGAGGGTAATTCAATTGTTACCCATGGAACAGGGCTGCAAACATGGCTACATGAGTGTTAAAATGCTGTCAAACTGTTTTAATTCAGTCACAATTGTCGTTTTTAGACGGTGTACATTGGACTCAATAAACATACAGAGTTATGGACATAAATGTGTCAGTATAGACGGGATAATGTACATATTAATAATATTTAATTAGTTAAATGTACAATGAGCTAAAAACAGCAGAATCACTGCTGTTAGCAGGGTCTCAGAGACCCATAGACCCAGAGAGCCAGGGTACAGCACATCGCTGTCTTACCCATAAAACAGGGCTCTGATCAGGGCTAAAGTAATGTTATAAACTGGTGAATCTGTTTAAATGCAGGCAGCATAGTCACTGCTTTTAGCAGGGTCTCAGAGAGCCAGAGAGCCAGGGTACAGCACATCGCTGTCTTACCCATAAAACAGGGCTCTGATCAGGGCTAAAGTAATGTTATAAACTGGTGAATCTGTTTAAATGCAGGCAGCATAGTCACTGCTTTTAGCAGGGTCTCAGAGAGCCAGAGAGCCAGGGTACAGCACATCGCTGTCTTACCCATAAAACAGGGCTCTGATCAGGGCTAAAGTAATGTTATAAACTGGTGAATCTGTTTAAATGCAGGCAGCATAGTCACTGCTTTTAGCAGGGTCTCAGAGAGACAGAGAGCCAGGGTACAGCACATCGCTGTCTTACCCATAAAACAGGGCTCTGATCAGGGCTAAAGTAATGTTATAAACTGGTGAATCTGTTTAAATGCAGGCAGCATAGTCACTGCTTTTAGCAGGGTCTCAGAGAGCCAGAGAGCCAGGGTACAGCACATCGCTGTCTTACCCATAAAACAGGGCTCTGATCAGGGCTAAAGTAATGTTATAAACCGGTGAATCTGTTTAAATGCAGGCACCTGCATTCACACCTCCAGGGCGGAGACCGGGAAAACCACCTCTCTTTGCCCGCTCACAGAGCCCCGAAGGACGGACTAGAGACCTCCAGCACCAGTCCCTAACAGTGGGACTCTGTTTATTTCACACCTCCAGGGCGGAGACCGGGAAAATCACCTCTCTTTGCCCGCTCACAGAGCCCCGAAGGACGGACTAATGACCACCAGCATGTCCCCCTAACAGTGGCACCTCCATAACATTGCACACCGTGAGTCCCCCGGCCCCCGCAGTTAAGCACTCCCCCACGGACTAAACCCAGATATTCACACCCTCCAGAATCTCGTGCCCCTGGTAAGACTAACAAGGGGTGGATTTTGTGGTGGTCTACCGTCCGCCCTTAAGCATCCAACTGCGGACTAAACCCAGATATTCACACCCTCCAGAACCTCGTGCCCCTGGTAAGACTAACAAGGGGTGGATTTTGTGGTGGTCTACCGTCCGCCCTTAAGCATCCAACTGCGGACTCCTGACACTCAGACACTTTTCATATTTTTAGGTTACCAAGGGCACGCTTGTCTGGCAGTTATGCACATGGGGTTTTGTCCAAGGCAGTGTGCTTAAGTCAGGGGGCCCGGGGACTCAAGGTGCGCATGGCAGGCCGCCTATGAGCGGCCAAAATGTTTTAATTAACTCGTTATTGTCGTTTTTAGACAGTGTACATTGGACGACATAAACATCCGGAGTTATGGACATAAACGTGTCAGTATAGACAGAACAATGTACATATTAATCATATTTAATTTATTAAATGTACAATAAACTAAAAACAGCAGAATCACTGCTTTAAGCAGCATATCACACTTCCAGGCAGACATACACACACCCAGGGGGGGAAGAGAACACATTGACCCAGGAATAAGTGCTCAAAACGTGGGTAAAAGTGTGTTAAAAAGTCGGGGAACATGTTTCAAATGACAGCAGACTGCTGCTTGTTTGCAGGCTGACACGAATCATGGGCATATTAGTGTTTAAAGTCGGGTGAACTGTTTTAATTCAGGACCAGGGTGAAAAGATAACACATTTACCCCGCTAAAGTGTTCAAAACATGGGTATATTAGTGCTCAAACTCGATTAAACTGTTTTAATTGCGGAGGTTTTACGTTTTGGTTCACTGTCTCACACACCCAGAGTGTTAACAACATTTTTTACAAATTTTATAAATTAGTCTAGAGCTCCATCTATTGTAATTTGAGTGTATTACACGTCTGTCCATGGAACGTGAGTTTTGTGCAATTTGAGTGGAGTAAACTGATATGCAGCTGGAGTAACATGTACATTGAGACGCATTGGGACATATCATCATCACTTTCAATGTTAACCTTGTACATATGAGGCACAATATGCTTACTCTTAGTTTTGTTAAAACTTCTGTAGAACGAGATTATTTTAATTGTATTTATCAGACAAGTCCTATTGAATAGAATGCGTTCTACATTGATTAGGTTCCATAGCAGAATAATATTAATTTACTGTGACGTGTAGTTTTGTATTGACTTTCTTACATACAGGTCTTCGTAGCCGTAGTTATGGACCACAGCCTTGATCTCGATCTGCTCGTTCCTCGCCACTGAGTATGGCAGCTTCAGATCCACAAATAAATTTTTCCATGCTTTGACGTTGTAAGGCTCTGCTACACAAAATCCTGTGGACATTAAGAACAACATCAGCGTGAATATATTTGTAGTATTTCCTTTCATCCTTTGAGTTTAGAGGTCTGAACATGCCCAAAGTGAACGATTATGTTCAGCCTTTGTGCTTTCAGTAAATTAGGAATTGGGTTTACGGCTTGTTAAATTGAACGCAATGAAACTATTAATCCAATGGAAGATATATTACTTTTACTTTACAGTTTAATTGACTGGCAATTGTTGGACAACACATTCTGTCGAAATGCTAAAGACATACAGTAACTGTTTTTTTAAATAATTGGTGGCATATAGTGTTGATCACAAATGCTTTATTTTGTGTATTGTGATGTTTTTTTGGAAAGAAGATCGATCGATAGATCGATAGATAGATAGATGTTCATTTTCAATAAGCTTAAAAGCCAGAGTTGTAATCCTAAACTAGCTGTGGTGACTATTGCCACTCAATATCCCCTGGGATTGACTAAAACTGGGTTAACTAATTGGACGCGTGCAATCTCCATGTAAGACGAAGTTTAGCTTTCAATATATTTTATTTTCAAAGAAAACAGCGTGTTCACAGACACGATAGACACGGTCAAAACACTTTTGCTCTCCCAGTCGCAATCACTACACTTGTGCCAGGAGATCACTTATATGCTGTTGCCCCATTACGCCATCTAGTGTTCAAATAACAAAACATATAAGCCATACTAATGGGCGCAACACTAGCCAAATTGCCACAATGTGACTACCCCCCCACTCTCCCTCTTGTACCTGTATGAGGTGAGGCACTGACAGCCAGAATCCCCCACTCCGTGATGCTGTCAGGTAAAGGGTGTTGCACATTTTTAGACGCCAACCTGTTGATCAGATTCATGTGTTTTACCAACTAAAAAGGTCAAAACCACTGATACAAGAATTTTAAAGAAAGTCTTCCGAATCATACAAACAGATTCATCAGGGTTAACACAGGAAACGGAGTCAGTGTTGTTTACTCTGAGCTGTTTATCCCGCTCTTATCACTGAACAAACAGAACATGATGCAATGCAGGGAGTTCACTGTGCTGTGGGTTTCTCTCATGTGATGAAACAGAGACTTAACATTGGACCTGGTCCATCTTTTTATCAGACAGTGGAGGTACGTCAAATGGCTGGATTTTTTAAGACTTTCAATGAGCCAGTTGCTGGTCCACTCCAGTATTCTCAAATGTGTATCCATACTCAGGGATGCAAACTCATCAGGTATGAAAAAGGTGACAAGGATCCGAGCCCCCCGACCCCACGGAATATCGGCTTTAAAATGAGGAATAACAGAGGATTTTAGCAGTCAGAACAACTAAAGCAGCAGTTAATAATAACAGAAACGCCAAAGAGTCACATCTAATAGAAATATATTTAAGCATTTATTTTAATTGTGTAGCAGTCAGTTTATAATTTTGGCAGGACTGTTGAGCATTTTGAAAATGTATTTTCATGCCTCTGTGCAAGGCTGTCTTTCTATCTTTATAGCCAGTGGTGTAAAGTAACCAAGTTCATAAACTCAACAAGTACTATACTTGGGTACAATTTTGAGATACTTGTACTTTATTTAAGTATTTCAATGTTTTGCTACTTTGTTCTTCTTCTCCACTACAGTTCAGAGGTAAATGGTGTACTTTTCCTCCACTACATGTATTTAATCCCTTTAGTTACTTCACAGATGTGGATGAATGATGTGAAATATAATCAAGTGTTAAATCAGACTTTAGTTCCACCAGGAGTAAATTCACAAGCTACCCTGCAGTATACAAAGTCATTCAAACTAGCTGCACCTTTACCAGCTTTGAGAACACTTTCATGATCAATCATTATAAAACATATCATATATATTATTCTGAAATGAACCAATCTGCACAATGACTACTTTTACTGTCGCTACTTTAACTATATTTTGATGATGATACTTTTCTACTTTTACTTGAGTAACATTTTGAATGCAGGACTTTTACTGTAACAGAGTATTCCTACACTCTGGTACTTCTACTTTTACTCAAGAACAAGATCTGAGTACTTCTACTTTTACTGATGTACAAGATCTGAGTACTTCTACTTTTACTGATGTACAAGATCTGAGTACTTCTACTTTTACTCAAGAACAAGATCTGAGTACTTCTACTTGTACTCAAGTACAAGACCTGAGTACTTCAACTTTTACTCAAGAACAAGATCTGAGTACTTCTACTTGTACTCAAGTACAAGACCTGAGTACTTCAACTTTTACTCAAGAACAAGATCTGAGTACTTCTACTTGTACTCAAGTACAAGACCTGAGTACTTCAACTTTTACTCAAGTACAAGATCTGAGTGCTTCTACTTTTACTCAAGTACAAGATACTTATACCACCTCCGTTTATAGGCTATGAAAGAAACTATTTGAAAACGAAGGCTAAAGCTAACGTTAGCAGATAGTGACAATGTATGCTAGTTAGCTAGCTCAACGATTCATTAAATAATATTGCGACAGAAACACTTTTCAGTGCACATCACGCTCTGCCGCTCCGACAGGGAGCTCTGCTCTGAACACCCCGTTCTAACCAGCGGTCCAGTCTGTGCCACAGTTCTACCGCACAGTTAATATTAACGAACGCACCGTAGGTAATGTAGCTGCTGAAGCTAGACCCTCATCCCGGAGCAGCAGAGCCTTATTATACCCTTACGCAAAGAAAATATATTTCCCCATATATTAACTGTCAATATATTGCATTATTTTGTTTTCTGATTTACTGGTTAATTGAAAAGATTTAATAAAGGAAATCTTGCTGTTGGCTACACCAAGTGATACTGATTAATAATCAACATGAAAAACATATTTATTCATATCTACAAAATATATTGAAAATATATTGAAGATATATAGAATAATATATTGTGTTAATATATTACAATATATATATATTGAATAATATATTGTGATAATATATTGTAATATATGGGATAATACATCAGTAATTGCCGCTTTCCATATATTGAGTAATATATGTAAATATATATAATATATTGGTTGTGTATATATGTGAACATACATTTTACTATATATTAACATTTATATGGGGACATGTACTATATATATTCACAAATATATGGGGACATGTATGCTCTATATATTCAGATTTATATGGGGACATGTATGCAGAATATATTCACAATTATATGGGGACATGTACTATATATATATGCACAAATATATGGGGACATGTATGTACTATATATTCAGATTTATATGGGGACATGTATGTAGAATATATTCACAATTATATGGGGACATGTACTATATATATTCACAAATATATGGGGACATGTATGCTCTATATATTCAGATTTATATGGGGACATGTATGCAGAATATATTCACAATTATATGGGGACATGTACTATATATATTCACAATTATATGGGGATATGTATGCGCTATATATTCACAATTATATGGGGACATGTATGCACTATATATATTCAGATTTATAAAAGACCATGTACGTACCATATATTCTGAACATGAGTGCAATATATGTTCACAATGAGGAGAAATGCATGTTCTGATAAAAAAAATCTTTCATTTCATTTCAAACCTTTATTTATGCAGGTGAATCCCATTGAGATCATTGATCTCTTTTTCAAGGGTGACCTACTGCAAGTAGGTTCCACATGAATACATATAAACATAACAGAAAAACAAAAAAGGACATCATACAGCATATTTACAGTGACTACAGTTTACATAGCTAGTAACATTTACAGGTTCCAACAGTTTCCGATTGGATAGTATCTATCCTTGCTTTAAAAACATTTAGCGGAACCAAATTGCTCAGACTGTTCCAAGTTAGCGGAGCTGCGCATCTAAATGCTATCTTCCCTAAGACAGTCCTAGCAGTTGGCACATTTAATAAAACCACAGCATTCGATCTCAGGCAGTAGCCACTTACAATTCGCCGTGAGATCAGGGAGCAGATGTAGGAAGGAAGTTTCCCTAACATGGCTTTGTATATAAAAATGTACCAGTGACTGAGCCTCCGTACAGTTAGTGAAGGCAAACCTGCCCTTGCATACAGGGTACAGTGATGGGTTAATACTTTACAGTTTGTCACAAATCTCAGTGCACTGTGATAGGCGGCATCTAACTTGACCAGGCAATTGGCAGGTGCATTCATATAGATCAGATCACCATAGTCCAGTACAGGTAAAAAGGTCACAGTGACTAGCCTTTTCCTGGCCTCAAGTGAGAAACAGGACTTGTTCCTGGAAAAGAAACCTAGCCTAACCCTCAGTTTTTTAAGCAGGTTATTGACATGAAGTTTAAAAGTGAGACAATCATCAAGCCAGATACCAAGGTATTTGTAACAGGTAACCACTTCAAGTTTTATTCCTTGTGTAATTAAAATATCTAAAACAGGCTCTGGTGTCTTTTTAGCTTTTGAAAAGAGCATTACCTTGGTTTTATCAACATTTAAAAGAAGCTTAAGCGCTGAGAGCTGAGTCTGAATAATGAGAAGCTTAATTTGTTTTTTTCTATCAATGTGTAACAGTTATCAAAATACTCATTAAAAGAAGGACAAGGAACGAATAAAAGAAAAGGCCTATAAACAACACATTATGTCATGACTCAAGAACATTTTTATGTAATTATGTAATAAAACGCACATTTTGTAATAATCTGCTGCATTCTGTAACAGCCTGAACGCAATATAAAATAAATGTCCCTGCATTTTGTAATAAATTATTACATTTTGCAATGGTTATTACAAAATGCGTGAGTTGCCCTTTTAAAAAACTGTAATATTCATTATGTAACCATAACCAAACTGTAAATATATCCCAAAATTGATGTTGATATACATGTTGGCTAATGAATATGGTAACACTTGATCTAGTTTTGGCCAATGAAAGATATTCTACTGAAGTATTTTTAAATTATGAGTAAGGATGATTCATGGTTGAATAAATAAATAAACAGTTGTAATGTTATTGTTTGCAACTCATTTTGTAATAACCACAGCAATATGTAATAATATATTTCAAAATGTGGCGACATGTATTACATATTTGCATTGAACTTGTTTACTACATAATGGGCAAATTATTACAAAAGGAGGTGTTATTACATAATGAAGGGAAAATGTATTACATTTTGTATAGGTATAGTTAATAAATGATGCATTGTTATTTCATACAGGGCCAAAAAGAGCAGTCTGTTATCCTATTTAACAATCTTGTTTTTTGTTTCACCTGGTGACAACTTTAAACATGAGCTGATCACTCATTAAAACAATGTCCGGAACAGGGCCAAAAAAACAGTCTTGTACCCTATTTGATCGTCAATCTTGTTTTTTTCGTGCCTTTACTCACAAATTCTTGTGTTAATGGATGTTCTTATATCTGATGTCTTGGTCCCTGGATGGTGGTTTACTACAGCATCTGTGGAACAGAACAATTACAAATAATTAGAAGTTCACAAAAGACAGCAGGAATTATAACAATATCCATAATATCTATATTAAAGCATGGGCTGGCTTGGTGAATAATGTGGGAATACAAATAGTGGAAGAATAGGCTTTGTACATTTTCGTCTGAGTGTGGCGCTACTGGTTGGTATATTTTATGGAATTTGGACCAAGCATCTGCATCTGTAACAGTTCTGTTTAAAACTTTTTTAAATGTAATTGCATTCATCTTTAAAGGTGGGGTAGGTAAGTTTGAGAAACCGGCTCGAGATACACTTTGTGTTATATTCCATGGAATGCTCTTAACATCCCGATAGCAATGAATATCTGAAGTGCTTTGACAAAAAATCCATAAAAAAATATCATCTGTGGAAGCTGTAGTACTGTAAAAAGCACATCCAATCATTTTAGCCGGCCCGGCTGAAATGACTGGATGGCCTACCTGCCTGTCAGCCTTCCATCTGTGCACAAACTTATCTCGTGCCCTCATTGGTCATGTGCGCGTTCGTGTGTGTTGGAGGAGGGGCTCTGTGAGGAAGTGGCAGATTTTTTCCGGCTGTGTATTTTCAAATTCTAGCGCACTCGAGCTGGTTTCTCCAAAATTACCTACCCCACCTTTAAAAGACTACTTTTATTGAATGAGAGTTTTACCTAGCACAATGAGCCTGGGGTGGTGGGAAGGGAGAACTGGGCCTCGGCATCGGCAGGAGTGGTAGTCGCCTATGAGTATTAGAATTTAGATGAACAAAGGCATAGAAAAACCCTGAAATATGTACTGACACAAAGCTACAACCCTCGATTTTGTAAGTAGTAGTAGTAAATACATACGTATATACAATATACAACAATACGCATAATGCAATTAGCAGTACCAGTAATAAAATAACTGAATAAATAGTAGTAGAACCTTTATTTAGCCAGGAAAATCAATTAAGAACAAATTCTTATTACAATGATGACCTGACAGGAGGCAAAAGGCGTCCTGAGGGGATGGGGTTTGGGAGGAAAAAAATAAAAAGACAGACTCCGGGCACTACAGAACCCAGGAGACAACACAATGACACAGAGCAGAGATGACAGGCATAGCAGTTAAACATATAAAATCTCTAAAACAATATTGCTGTGGTTCAATCTGTCATTAAAATAATATAGAACATTCATCCATTCAATCCTTCATGGCAAGGATAACTAAGCTGAATAGTGAATAAAGTGATATGTGAAAAGTAAAATGACAGTGAAATTAAATGACAGTGCGTTCCTTACCACTGCGATCTGGCTCCTCGGTCCTCGTATATTTTGGGTCTGATTCCTCACTACTGATGTCTGCCTCTGCATGGGCCCTCTCTCCTTATTTATTCTGTCTCAGTCACCACTGCTATCTGGCTCCTCTGTCCTCTTGACTTGTGGTTCTGCAGGCTTAGTTCGACCTATGAATTTCAACAATGCTCCTGTAAAATATATAGATATATAGTATTATGGGTCAACATTAAAATAACATACACTGGAGAGCAAAATGTGAAATGCCATTGACTGTAGGCTACATATTATCCACACAATTGTCAGCAGGGGCAATAACAACTAAAATGTGAACTAACTTGAATGCATTAGTCCACAACACATAGCCTAACGTAGAGTAGAGAATGAATGAATGGTTTCTGCAAAATACACAGAAATAGAAATAAGGTTCAAATTACAATAACTAACCAGACGATGGTTATTAATAATAAGCAACAGCAATACTAATTGTTGCTAAAACACATTAGACACGTTGCAAACACACGGCTAATAAAAGCTAAGTTAGCATCTCATCCACACACTATCATAGCTTAACTTAGCTAACTAGCTAGCATTAGCTCAATTCCTGAACAACATAGAAACTAAAAACGGGACATCAAGACTCATTAACACACTGACTGAGCAGGACACTATGCATACAATCTTATAACATTACCAACACTAAAGATCTGCATATATGCTCACATTCTTCACGAACGCATTCTCTCTGTGACGATGGTAATTATGCATGTGACGATGCGCAATAATGTCCTGAACGCACATGTGTAACCAGCTCGAAGACCCGTAGCTGAACTACTTTAGCTGTCCCTAAATGTGCCTGACTAAAACACGAACGATATAATGCAGATCAAGGAGAACAAGGGGAATTTACAAGACATAGACTAACTGTGGTTACATTACTTAACTAGCTCATCGTCGTCACCAGTCAGAAAATGTCCGTTAGCCGTGGGGCTAGTTTTCACTATGTTAAACTCCATTGACTTATGCTAAAATGTTAGCGATCTAAAGGTCCGCTATTTTTGGCTGTTTTGGGTCGACTTCAGTTGACTGTAAAATCGAAAATCTTCGAAATTGAATGTTCACAAAGCTGCGGACCGGTTATACACTCATACACGAGGGAACTAACATAGCTAATTTAACTAACGTTAGCTAATGTAGCTGGTGTAGTGCCGAGAGACGGGACATACGGATTAAGCAACTAGACTACTTATAGTGTACATGCAGAATTATTTCAATTTAAAATAGTTTTAAATGCTCACACACATACCTGACTCTGGTGCTGTATTTTCCTCTCGTTTCTTTTTAATTTTCCGTTTCGAAGCACCTGATGAATGCTTTCTCTTTGACACTCAGCGACAGAATCAACAGACAGAGGCAGCAACGCAGATTTGAATCTGCCAATCAGATCAATCTATTGCTGGAGAGGGGGGGGGGGCTCCCCGAAATCAGCCGGAAGTGGCGCATTCGAATACTGTTTGGGCTGTCTGCCGTGGATGGGCTGCGTTCCACTCCAAATAGCCGGTCGGCCGTAATATATGCATAGATATATATGCGTGCATATATTCATATATATATGCGTGCATATATGCATATATATATATATATATTTATATATATATATATGAATATATATATGCGTGCATATATGCACGCATATATGAATATATATATGCGTGCATATATGCATATATATATGCGTGCATATATGTGTGTGTCTATATATATTTATAAACTGTATATTATTTTCCATCATTCAATGGACAATTTGTACTTTTTTTATATGTAGGCTACCATCAAACATATGTTCATATATAAAGTGGGTAACTATACAAAACGAAGTGAGATAACTGTTTATGAATATCTGTTCAATTTTATGTAAACTCATGAAAGATAAATGAGTGTTTCAATAAAACTATTACATATAAATGTATAGTGCAGTTTTTGTTTTCATTGCAATATTTTTTTTTTATATGTATCAATATATAGCCATACATGGTCCATGCATATATTGCAATATATTTAAAAATATAAGGACTACTTTCCCATATATGGAAATGTATGATCCAATATATTGTATTATATTTACCAATATATTACAATATATTTTTGTTTCATAAGGGTACATCCATGAGCAGAGCTGACAGGCAGGAAGACTTGTGCTCCCGCTTCATTATAATATATAAAAAAAGAACACCATGCGTGTCATGATGGCACATAACAGCTCGCGGCCGCAAATTACTCCGGGTCCCAGACCCCCCCCATACCCCAAAAATATTTTTATTGCAGATCTACATGAATCACACAAACGACCTATTTTGGAATCAAAACGGCAAATTTCGCCGAAAGGTGACAAGTTTGCATCCCTGCCATACTATACACATGCTACTGTGTCGACTTTGGTTAAATATCCAGGAAAAATCCTGGACTGAGTGGGAGTGATTCATCTAATAATCCCTTTAAATGGTACTCGTGTTTTAAAAATAAGACGTAAAGGAGACAATATACTTGGCTTTCTAGTGGTTTACCTTGTGAGAAAACAGCTGTTGTCTTTTGGCTTTATGAAAACAATTAATTCTGAATGTACTGCATTCCATTAATATTACATTACAGTACATTACATGTCACTTGTTAGAGGCTTTTATCCAAAGCGACTTACATACTCAATACTGTGGGCAATCCCCACAGGAGCAATTTGGGATCTTGCCCAGGGACACAACGACATGCTGACTGCAGTGGGGTTTGAACCTGTGCTCCCCTGATCCGAACACCAGCGCACTAACCCAATGCGCGACAGCCTCCCTAATATTGTGGAAAGACTGGACAACTTATCAATAATAGATACAAATTGGAAATTAAACATCGAAATAAAGAGGTTAACATAATTATCTATTTGTTCAAGCAATAATGTTGTTTCAATGAACACAACTTTTAAATGAAAATGCAATAATGAATTTATTTGATTTAATTTAAAAAGGACTCCTATGGCTTCCATATCAGTCTATCTGCAATTGTGGACATCTCTTTGCTTTTGCTTTTTAACAACATTTTCCCTATTTGGTCATATTTTTTTCATGCTGATTTCAATGCTCCAGCAACAAGCTTATTGCATTAAAAGTATTCATAAAATCCATTTATCTAGATCAAAATACATCTAATTTAAAAAGTGATGCTGTTCTAGCAGATGACGTTTAGGTAAACTAGAAAGAATAATCTTCCTCTGATGTAACCTTTAATATTTCACTCACCCATCTCCGTCTGCCTGGGTTGGCAGGTTAACATCCGTCCACAGCCAAGACTCGTAGAACTTGGATCGTAGACTAACTTCAGACTCGTCCTGATACTCGTCTGGCTCCTCTTCTTCTCTTACTCCTACCACTCCTGGTAACATGGAAGGGTGAGCGGCTGCTTCCGGTTTCATCGGACAAGCCACCATACGTTCACCTTCAATATCTATGTGAACACATTTTTACATGATTAACAGGTTTTTACCTGTCCTTTGGTAGAAAATGTTAATCACGACACCCTCATGTATGTCCTTGTACACAAAACACTCTTTAAAGAAATAGCTCTTCAGTATAATTGGATATCAAAGAGTCTGAAAGTAAATGAGCTAGGTAGAAAGAATTGTTCAAAGTGTTGAAATTCGAAGGAAAAAACTAAGACAGAACCCAAAGTGGACTATGACGAGAGTGACATGTCAATCATAAGTCGGGAATGTAACTTACAATGAACAAAGCAGTCAGAAAAAGGATCAGGGGTGGTGGTGGGCAGAGGTGTTGTAAAGGGTGGTGGGGTTGTAGAGATCTCCTGATTCCTGTAGGTGGCGCAGCAGTAGCGGAAAGCCTTCATGCACTCCCAGCCCTCAGTGATGTAGAGGGAGCGCCGCGTGCAGGAGTACGGCATGGGGATCTCCCTGAGGCCGTCCTTACAGCAGCGGCGCTGCAGCTTCTCTTTGTAATGACTCTCTGCGGGGGGGGGGGGGGGGGGGGGGGGGGGGGGGGGGGGGGGGGGGGGCAGAACACAGTCATCAATGCAATAACTTCCTCATAAGGCACCAGCTAGCAAATCTTACACCGGGAATTATCCTGTTTTTTACGTTGCCCACTGCTTACAATGACTATTTTTAACTTTGCTCTTTGCCCCCTGCACACACACAATACTACACACTGCGAACTTGATCACTACTCTACTGATGTACAAATACTAGATTTTAAAATGTAAGAAAGAAGCTCTACATACTATTACAGTATACTGTCTTGTATTGTTATTTTTGTTTGGTTAAATAATTATAATTTGTTGTATGATAATTAAGGGCCTGTATTGTGGGAGCCAAAATGCTTATTTTGCCATTGCTTATTATTTCAATTATTATCGTTATTTGTTTACAATCAATCAATCAATCAATCAACAACTTTATTAATCCTGCAAGGGGCAATTGGTTATGAGCAGCTTATGTCATGTACACAGGCAAGAACATACAGGAAGAAAACACACAGATACATCCGGGAGCAGAGATGTGGATCATTCCAATTTACACGATAAATAGTTCATAGCATCACAATAATAAATAAATAAATGATCAAGTTAAAAAGCTTTTCAAGAATTTAAAAGTTTGAGTGCAGAGGGGATGAATGATTTTGAAAAGCGATTTGTCTTAAGAGCAAGTAGAGCATATCTACGCCCTGATGGCAACAGATGAAATTCATCTGCAAGAACATGACCTGGAGAGGCCAGAATGCTCTCTGCTTTCCACAGAATCTGTTTGTTGCAAAAGGAGTTTTACACCACGTTTAATTGTAATTAATTATCACTTCCAGCAATTTTCACATGGGGTTGGTTTAATGCTATTTAGGTAACCGGTTGCAGGCTGGTTTTGTGGATGACAAAAGAGGGCATTTTTCTCTGACATTTTCTGCTGACCATGTGGGAAGGACTTTGTTAATGTTTGGTATGTTTCCTCATTAAACATCGTCAAACTATGACTACAGTGCGCACTCTTCTATGGAACGCGTCACATGATGAGCAAAGTTTAGCCTTTCTGAAACATAAGTCATTGGGAAATTTGACGCTACACTAACCCTGACCCAGCTCTAATGACGCTCATCAATCAATCAATTCACTCACCCAGCTGGGCTATACGCTGCAGCTTTTCAGCAGAGCGCCTCCTTCTGGCACTTCCTGGACACTTCAGTGCTGACGAGAGGAGGAGAAAAAACATACAACATTTCTGTATTGTACAATCAATGATCATTTTGTTTATCTGTGTCCGTCTGTACATTTTCTAACAAATTAACATATATTTACAATAACCAATTATTTAAAAAAGGATTAGCTTTGCAACTTATGACAGGATGGAACAACATTACACGGTATATCTATAAGGAGCGTGTTTCCTACATTGACTCAATAATGTTAACCGCTATCCAAAGCAAGCTATCAATGCAAATATGTTGGCATTATGCGAGCCGTCAATATAAATTACAGTTTGTCAAAGTACAGCACACATTAGCTCCAGGATTTCTTCACTTTCGGAAAACACACAATGCAAACATGGCCTTCAGCTGCTACAAAGGGGAAGTCTGACTATCATTCGACAGGAGCTACTCTGTGCATTGTACAATTCATGAAAGTGTGTATTGTTTTTTTTATATGTAGGCCTATAACTAAGATATACTGTACGTTTACTGTCTACAGCTAGCAGTAATGAGCAACTAGAACATTCAGAGACATTTTGACTGTGTGAGTGAGACTTGGGTGCGCGTCCCGATGCTAACATTACCCCCACTGAGTAAGTATTAATAGCATTTGTTGTATTGTTAAGGTACAACAAATAATATCCATTCATTTTAGCTGACTGTTTTAACTGTTTATCTATTACATTTTTGGATTATTGTACCACATTCCTGCATCGTTTCTGAACATCTTTAGATTACCACCGGGTTTAGTTAACGACCGACAGGTGTGTTCAAAGATCAAATGGATTTCCCATTCATTCCTATGGGGCCAATGATAGCAGTTTTCTGCGATCTGCGTGAAAACGGCTTGGCGTATCTCATATAAAAGACATGGCAACCCGATGCCGGTCTGTCCGCTTGTTTTTATGTGTTTTTTGTGTGTTTCGTGTCAATGCTGCCGGACGAGTAGCATGACAACATTTGTGGCAGAAGAAGGAGAATAAGATGAGATAAGTATGTCGAATACTAGACTGTGTGTGGCTTCGCCAGTCACACAGAATTAAAGCTGCAAGCAACCATGAACTGGGTCTAGACCAGGGGTCACCAACCTTTTTTAGGGTGAGGGCTACTTTTAAAAAATAAAACAAGTCGGGGGCTACTTTTACTCCTCTTGCAAACCTTTGATCTCTTCATAGCTCGTTAGCTCAACTATAAACAAAGAGAAAACAAAAGGAGGAGCTCAAAGGCGTAGAGAGCGAGGAGTCGAGAGGCCGAGCGCTCTAGAGAAGAGCGAATGAGAAGAGCGAGAAGAGGAGAGCGACGGAGAGCGAGTACGGACGAGAGAGCGAGAGAGGATAGGAGATACGAGGAGAGAGTAGCAGGCGGATGAGAGAAGAGATGTCAGGCGAGATCGTGAGAGGAGAGAGCTCAGATAGCTCCTAGATATTGATCTCTCTCTCCTCTCTCTCTCTCTCTCTCTCTCTCCTCTTTCTCTCCTCTCTCTCTTTCTCTGTGTTTGTTTTCAAACGGTGTATGACTGATGATATGTGCATGTCTCTTAATGTCCACTATGTTTGTATATGTACATGGATGCACTGCAGGACGGAGTCCAGAACAAATTTCCTTACGGGGACAATAAAGTATATCGTATCGTATCGTATCGTATCGTATCGAATCGAGCCTTGGGGAACCCCACAGGTAAGAGGGGCTTTGGCAGAGGAGAAGGCACCTAGCTGCACTGAGAAGCTACGGTCTGTCAGGTAGGACCTGAACCATGCAAGGGCAGAGCCTGTGATGCCAGCGGACTGTTCAAGCCGTGACAGCAGGATGCTATGGTCCACAGTGTCAAAGGCGGCTGTCAGGTCTAACAGCACCAAGACAGCTGGGCTACCTGAGTCGGCGGCTAGGAGCAGATCATTAAAAACTCTTAAAAGGGCTATTTCAGTGCTGTGCATGGGTTTGAAGCCAGACTGAAACTTTTAATGGATTCCATGGATGGTTAAAAAAGACTGCAGCTGGGCGTAGACTACTCGCTCCAGGGCTTTTGATAAAAAAGGTAGCTGGGAGATGGGCCTAAAATTTGCGAGAATGGAGGGGTCGAGATTTTTCTTTTTAAGGAGTGGCTTAACCACGGCATGTTTGAAGGCAGCTGGGACACATCCTGAGGTAAGAGAGGTGTTTAAAAGTAATAAAATACTTGCTCCAACTGAATCAAAAACATCTCTGAGAAGGCGAGAGGGAATGCTGTCTGAGGTGCAGTTTGTCGGCCGCAGGTGCTTGACCACATCCGAGAGAGCAGAGAGGGATACAGGCTCAAAGTGGTCGAGGACAGCAGGGCACAGAAAAGGAGCAGGATCTGGGGTAGCACTAGTGTGGGCTAGCCTAAGAGCAGATACCTTTTCAATAAAAAATGTAAGAAACTTATCACAGAGAGTAGTCGATGGCACAATAGAAGAAACATCACAGGGATTAATGATCGAGTTAAGGACATTAAAAAGAACCTGAGGTTTATGGCTGTTTTTGGAGATTAACAGAGAAATGTGCTCTGTTTTGGCTGCTTTGACTGCCGTCTGGTAGTCAGAAAGGCAAGCACGAAGGATTTCTAGGGAGACATGGAGTTTATCCTTTTTCCATTTTCTCTCTGCACGCCTGCAAGCGTGTCTGAGAGCACGAGTACAGTCATTGAGCCACGGCTCTGATAGAACTTTGGTGTGTCTAAGCGTAAAAGGAGCAACAGAATCCAGTATTAGTGTGCATGTCGAGTCAAACATGGAGATAAGCTCATCAGCATTAAAAGCACAGTTCACATCTAATTTACAGATCGGAGAAGCATTAAAAACATCAGAGAACTCTGAGGCAGTCAAGGGGTTAATCGAACGCAGACGACGCGCCGGGGCACGTGATTCGACTCCTGCGGAAGGGATGTAGGTTGTAAACAGAACCGGTAAATGGTCTGAGATACGCGTTGCTGCACATATTTCATCCACAGATACAGACAGTCCAAACGATAATACTAAGTCCAAAGTGTGTCCTTTTTCACGGACTGAACGAGACCAAAAGAATCAAGGAGATTTAAAAAGTCCCTAACCAGAGGTTTGGACTCGCAACACATATGGACATTGAAGTCTCCGGAGATCAAAACACGATCATATTTCACCATGATCCCGGACAGAAAATCAGAAAAGTCATTTATGAAATCCTTATTGCACTTTGGCGGACGATACACGACTGCGCAGAGTATAGGCGAGGCCGGGTTCAGTTCAAAAAGCTGCAACTCAAAGCTGGCATAGCTAGTTACAGGGTGAAGCAATCGGCATTGGAGGCTAGCTCTAAACACTGATGCTATGCCCCCACCATGGCCAGTGGCACGGGGGGAGCTGAAGAATGTACAGTCAGGAGGAAGAAGTTCAGAGAACGGTGTATACTCGCCAGCGTGGACCCAGGTCTCCGTCAGGAACATAAAATCCAGTTCACGAGAGGTGAAGAAGTCGTTAGCAGGAACGTTTTGTTTGCTATCGACCTAGCATTTAGCAAAGCCATGCAAAGTTTTCGCTCCGGGCTTGCCGAAGGTGTAGTGCGTCTCAGCTGACGAAGATGTGCGTGTTGAACGCCGCACGGGCCGGGAGCAGTCAGTCGGGCAGGAGGAGCTGCCAGCGGGCCCATTAGAGTACGGAGCTCCGGAAAAAACGGGGCGAATCCACCGATCCCTCACATGGCGTGCAGCGGGAGGGCCATGACATCCGAGGCGTGGATAATTCACAGAAGAAGCCGTCAGGTATGCCTTAAGATGGACCAGTGCACCACCACGCTTTCCCCGTCGTCGAAAGCGCTTTCGGCGAGGCAGGATGCAGGGCGATCGGCGCAGGTGGGTGGGGATATCCGACAGTAGAGGGGGGGGGGACGATTTATGGTTGCCAGATGTAGGTTTGGGCAGCAATATCAACTCCAGTGAGGGTCTGAGGTGGAGGAGAGCTTGGCGATCATAAACGAGCAGAGCAGAGACATTCTGACAAACATAAAACAAAAACAGGATAGCTAAAGGTAGAGAGCTGAGCGAGCGGCGAGCCGACACAGGCGCCATCTTGAAGCACGAGTACAAAACACACAGGCCAAACAGGTATTTGCTCCATGCTTGTATGTACCTTGTCTGGTTTCGGTTTGGAGGCCGGTGCTGGAGGAAAAAAGTAGTCCTGCGTCTGAGAACACCGCCAGGGCATTTTGGCCTCCCCCTCGGGTGCAGCCGAAGTCTCTGTCCTCTACCGCGCCCCATATCTCAGAAAAAGGTAACAAAACACTTATAATGCTTGTCAGTATAGAACAAAAAATGACTTCTTGACTCCATATCATTTTTCCGTACATGTATGTAATGTAAAAAAAAATGTGTTCTTTTTGTACGTATTTGCCAAGAAGGGATAACTTCTGGAAAATAAAATTAAAAAGATGATCATTTCCGTAGTGTCATCCGGTCCATCCCAACAAAATGTGTAAAGATTTTGCAGATATGTTCCTAACATATATCTCCCATAATCTGTTGCAATATGTTATAGTGATACTTTAACATAGGCTGCATTTATTGAATGTGCAGATCTTACAAATTCAGTTTTTTAGTATTGATTCATAGACACACACACACACCTTCCCCTGTGTAAGTCTGTCCCTGTTGAGCAGAAACACAGCGTTGTCCACGGCCACCAGGTTGACCTTTGCCCCCGGGTCACCTCTGATCTTGAAACTAAAGTTCTTTCCTGGCCTGTAATCTCGAGGTATACCATCCACCGGCCCGACATTCAGCTGTAAGATAATCAAAAGAATGAATAAGAGAATACACTTGAATTAACTAGATAATGTTTGTCAAACCAGATACAACTATAAAATCAGGATTTAGGAATAAGGCTGGCATTATTCTATATTTTTCTTTTTTTCAACAAACCCCACAAAATGTCCGTACCCTGTCAGTGGGACTCGACCCAAAACCTATCCATTCCTAATTAAGAAACAGATCTACAAAAAACGGTTAAATATTTTTATCAGGCTCAGTATTTTCTAAAACATCTGGACACTGTAGTTTTGTGAGATAATGTTACTATATAGTAGGTAGAGCATTTAGTGTATTCATGCAGCACAGGCAGTATGAGAAAAATGAAGGACTTTTTGAACCTTTAAGCATGGAAACATGTCAAAGTGGAGGAACAAAATGCAAATACAGTATGAACCTGAAAATGAGCCGAATAGCACCACTTTAAGATATTATGTACGTTACTGTAGTAACTCTGAGCTGACTTACCGCACCAACGCAGGAATCTTCCACATCCACCCAGATGGAGTCCGGCACCACCTCCTCCCTTCTTTCCCAGGGGATACTGAAGAAAGCCACAAAACGGAAAGAGGGCATCATATCCGGGGTGATATGAAGTCCGACACTGGTGATCAGCTGACCTGCCACATTCACACGCTCAGCAACAATGATGTTGCCTTTATTCAGCACCTATTATTTTTGAAGAGAAATCCATAACTGTTTTTGACTAAGTTTAATTTGATTTTGTTGCTAATTGTTCGACTTGTACTTCCTGATTTCCACATGTATTGGAAATATAATGTAATGGCATTGTCATGTGGTGTTCTTGTCTCACCAGGTAGGTGATGTGTGTGATGTATTGTCTGTATCTTGGGTCTGCAACAGTGATGCCCATCTTCAGGGACATTCTGTCTCCCACGGACACTGTGTTGGTCCCTGTGGAGATGTACAGGTAGTTCTGTTTACGGCGTCTAAAGGCAATGAACGGCTGAACAGTGATCTGTTGTTTGGCCTGCTGCTCTGGTCTCAGTCCAGCCTGCACCGTCTCAGCCTGGGAAAGCAGAAACAAATTAGATCCAGATCAGTGGAGCATGATTGGTTGCCAGAGTTTGGTGGCGTCCCAAGAGATAAAAACAAAGTGGATCTAGCACACATTTTATTTTATTGCTGCTATTCTTTCTCCACAGTAGCATTTATGTTGCCTTTTCTTCAGCTTCCAGCTGATGTAGATAAAGGGATGCTGCTCACCTTGAACCATCTGGGAGAGTACTGCTATGACTCATCAGTCTGAACAATCAAGTCCAGAGTGCTGATATATTTAGGGCTTTCTCAAGCCGGTGGATTAGCCCTTCCGCTTTCTTCTAACTGTCCCTAAAGTCCACATAAACCTGGGCAAAAGGGCATTCAACTGAAATCCTGCTAGTCGGCCCGAAAGCAAAAAGAGATATTCTGGTAAATAATCTCGGAATGTTTACTCACCGGGTCAAACCGGAGGTCACAAGTCTTTGTGTTATATTAGATTCAGATTTAAGCTTCAGCTCTCACATTAGAAAAGTGACAAAAACATTGTTCTTTCACCTTAGAAACATTGCTAAAGTGAGATCATTCGTAAATCAAAAAGACGCAGAGAAGCCTTTTCACTGACCTCCCGAAAAAAAACTACTGCCAGACTTCAGCTCATCCAAAACTCTGCAGCTCGGTTGTTAACTAGAACTAAGAGAAGAGAACACATTACCCCAGTTCTAGCCGCTCTGCACTGGCTTCCTGTTTCTTTTAGGATTGATTTGAAGGTCCTCCTCCTAACATATAAGGCCCTTAATGGGCAAGGTCCAAGTTACATTATTAACTCAAGAACACTGCAATCCTCTGCTGCCGTTTTTTTTAAAGTTCCAAAAAACAGCAGTAAAAAGTAGTTTGGTGATGCAGCTTTCGTTAAATGCCCCAAAGCTATGGAACCAAATATCTGTAGAAATCAGGGAAGCCAGCTCGGTGGAAGTCTTTAAGAAAAAACTAAAAACACATTTGTACAATTTAGCCTTTTAGGAAGCAAACTCCTGCTCTCTGCTGCACTTTCTCAATGCATTGCGATGCATTTTAAGCTGTCACCTGATTGTGTGTTGAATTTGCAGTATCCCCCTTTTAATGCACAATTTCATTGTTTTACTTTTAATCTAATTGTATTTTTTATATATGTCTACTCTATTCCATTTGTTTTTGTTTTTATGTCTTTTACTGGTATCTGTATTCTGTGTGATATACCTTTTCTGTGAAATGTCTATGTGAAGCACTTTGCACTGCACTTGGCAGTAGCTGTCATGCAGAGTTTAAGGGGTAGAAGCCAGTGGGAGCCTTAGGAACTTTGCCGATCAAGAGAAAAAGATAGGGCAGAAGCTGGTCCCAGGTACGACTGTCTTCATCGACAACACTTTTTAACTTGGATTTCAACATCTTGTTGAAGCTTTCTACCAACCGAATTGTCTGAGGATAGTAAACGGATGTACAAAGCTGTTTTAGCTTGAAGAGCCCACAGATTTCCTTCATCACCTTGGACATTAAGGGAGTGCCTTGGCTGATAATTCTGGCTTGTATTTCCAGTTACGGAACAGCTATAGCCAAACCTTGCCAGTAATTTCCTGTTTAAGATTGTGTAATCTTGGATTGGTCCTACAAGACATGCCGAGGATTCCCTATGCCAGCCCCTTTTCTTAGCTATGGGCTGAAAGACTGTCAAGTAGGCCTAAATCGAATCGTCTTCCATCCTTTTGGTGATGAACAGACTAGGGTAGGGCCAGTCAGAAAATAGTGTTTTATTGCCCAATACACAAAAGCAGTCAGAACAACAAAGTCTACCTAAGCCGGGCCTCCTACATGGTTCAGGATAAAAACAGACTTCTTCAGCCCAAGACTGGGAGACTCCTGCTCTCTCCATGTGCCACCTCAAACTGAACTGCACAGTTGGCTTTTGTTTCCCTGGTTGTTGGGATTAGCTCCAGGTGTCTGGCTCTTCACACTGGCTCCCAATACAGCCAATTGGGAGTAGGGGGAGCCACCTGGCAGGAATATAGATGCCTCTGATTACCCTGCCTCTCAACCCCTTACAAACTAAAACCTAAAAATGCTTACCAAGGTAACACTACAAATTATAAGTAGGGTCATTCTCTCATAGACTTGAATAATATTTAACATTATTTTTTGCAACCAGAGGGTGCCGCTTGCGAGCTATTATCAAAAATGTAGGTTTATATATATTCAACATTGGCTTCCCCAGTACCTTGCCACTTTCTAAAGGATTTGCTAAAAACTAAGGAAGTATATCAAATCCAAAACAGCAAGAGTAACATCAGAACATGTAAAGTGCAAGTTAAAAAAATGAGGGAGTAAAAAGGAATAACAGAACCAAATCAGTCTTCTGCATAAAGTGATGAACAATAGTTTAAAATGTAGGTGGGAAATGGCTCTGAGGGAATACAGTCATACTCACAGTGATGGTCTGTTGGCGTTGATCTGTCGGCATGTTGATGGTTGTGCCGGTGGTCACAACCAGGGGCGCGTCCAGAAGCTTTAATTTGACCGGGACATGTTGGGCCGAAGAACCGTCATGGTGGCTCACCTGGATCTAAACAGATCGGGGAAAATGTTGCTCTGTGATTTTAAACACTTGACAGTTTTTTACTTACTGTAATCTATCTGATAAACACATGGACCCAAGACACAGAGGATCCAGCTTGTGGCATTTTATTTGACTGAACAAAAACAAACAAAATCAGTTTTGGAAAAGTAATAATAAACAAAGAAAAATGTCCTTACTGTGAGGTCCAAGGGGAGGCCCGGCTTGAAGTACTTTGGTATGTGTTTGAAGGATAAGACATAGGGAGACTCCACAATTTTAATGCCAGTCTTTTCTGCTTCGACTAAATCACTCCCTGTACAGGAGAAAACTCAAGGTCATCATTGCCACTAACAAAAAAACAGGATACTTTCAGAAATCTAGACTTGAATGTCCCATGTGATATTTTGACTTTGTTATACTATGTCACAGGTGTAAAAATGTCAATGTTGAGAAAATGTTTCTCTTGTAGTTCTTATCGGCAGTCTTAAAGATAAAATAATAAGCTTTTATTGCAGTGTAATATTGTTTGTACCAGTGTTTAAACATGGAGATTTTAATGTTCTTCCAAGATTTGGAATTCCTTGAGCTGTCAGCTGTCACTACTCAGAAAAGTTGATAATTCTGCGTGTGCACTGAAAAGAATATCTGGTGGTACACAGCACTATGTTGAGGTTATTTGAGAATTATTAAGATATGGGGGAATGATTTGTTTTAATTATATTATAGTGCCCTGCTGCTGCAAAGCGGGAGTGATGTTTGTTTTTAGTTAATTTATAATAAACATGTTACATGTCCGTATTGCACCACGTGGGTCCCCAGATATACACTCACAAAGTGTGAATGGACAAAATTATCTTGAGATAGTAAAAACCTTTCTTTCAGAACATTTTAAGAAATTATACTTATAAAAAGTGGTAGGGACATGTCCCCAGCATCCCAAGCATGAATGACGCCTATGCTCAAAACACGTTTAGTTTTCAAACCTGTGATAGTTGAGGTCAGGGTGAGGGGTATTAAAAAAGTATATTTTATTGATATGAAATGATTAGTTACATGGTTGACTTTCTGACATGAAGTGCTGACCTGACATGGTGAGCACTGAGGCCTTCACATACACAGAGCTGCCCACAAGAGATCTGATGTTGGGGTGAGCTCTCTTGAGCTCCTCGATGCTCAGTTTGACCACTCCTCCGTCCAGCTGCGGGAAAACAGGAACACAGGAAGTAAATCACCAGATATCTAGTTTACAATAAGTTACATTTTTCCAGAATGCTCCAAAAAACTAACAATTGCCCCTGAACTAGGGGTTCAGCTAGGTTTCTACCAAGATCTCGAAAATAGATATTTCTAAATATGTTTTTTAAAGGATTAGAGATAGATTTGTTCACACAGTTGCAACATATTAAAACCGGAATATTAGTGAAATATTCAATTTAATTTGCCATGTTAATGTTGCGCAGGTTTTTGTAGTCAGTGGGCAGTGACTTACATTTGAGACCTGCTTCACTGAAGGCAACCTCCTCATTTCTTGGTTGATTGTCACTCCAAACACCACATAGGCCGTGCCCTGGACCGGCTTCCCATACAGGTATCTGAGACATAATCACAACAACAGGAGAAAAAGCATCATGTCATCAGATATCCCCATAAGCGAGGTTCATTTGTACACTTGTATGGTTTCAGTATGTGGAACAAATGCCCTTGAAATAGTCAAAGTTTGCACCTCCTGTTTTCATTAGAGGCTAGTTAAATGTAGATACATGTTTTTAAGGTAAAGTCAGGATTAGGTTTAAGATAAATCGTAAGATTGATAGAAGTTATTAAGCTAATGTCTACAGGATTAACCTGTTAAGCACCAAGCCTGTTTTTCATGTTTCAGGCTAGAAAATGACATGCCCAAAACAAATGACTACAACTTAACTTCTAAAAGGGTTATATGAATAATTTATTTTATCAAAGCAAGGTTACATCTGTGAGTTGGATGTAGAAGTGTCAGAATCATTATAGATGTTTTTTATTTTAAAGAAAATTCAGATTTTACATAGTAAAAAACTGTAAATTATAGTGTCCGTCCAAAAATTCCCGCATGCAGGTTTGCACCAGAGTGAAGCGATCTCTCGCTCTGACATTTGGAAACGAAAAAGCAGTTTTATTGCTTATGGATTATCAGAAATCATTTCAAAGAGGACACAGACACATTGGATTAACCTATGGATTAACTGCAGCATCGTTTTTTTATCGTTTTAATGCCATTGAAGACCAGTTTTGACCAAGGTAAGCCATGTTAGCGTTTCTAGCTACCTAGCTCCACATGTTCTGATGTACGCTTTCGTTTATAGCGTCGCAAATGTTTATCACTGAGTATTGAGGTGGGCACCAAACGATTCTGTGTCTCCAGGAGATGTGAATCGAGGGGTTGGCTGTGCATCTAGGATAAGTAATAAGGGAGTTATGAGTGAGTTTAGGTGCAGTTACATTTTTTCGCTTGTGGCTAATTCAGATGCTGAGTGTTAGCATTGTGGGGTTTTTTTTATTTTTTTTTTAAAAAGATCAGTTAGCTGAGTTTCTTCCCGTTACATGGATATAAAACATTCATAGTTTATTAAATATTAAGATTCCTTAGACGTTGTTTCCTGCAAATGACGCGTTTATCCGCCCGGTACCGAGGGGGCGGTGCGTAACAGGTTAACAGTTGAAGTAAAATTGGTATTTGTGAAGGTTTGGGTTCACTTTAAGGGGTGTGAATAAAGTCAATAAAGCGGGTATGTGTGTGTGAGTGTATTAGACCAACCTGGCCCATATCTCTACTTCCAGTTCACTATCATCCAGGTCAAGGAAGGGTTTCCTGAGCATCAGAGTAACATTAAAGGCAGGAAGTACTGAAACACAACACAAAAAGTTAAAAATGTGATGGCTACAATACAAAATGTTGTCTAACCTGATAAAACAAGGTTGTATGTAGCAGGAAAAAGCATAGTTTAAGTTGACCTACCATATTTTTTCACTTTGAACTCTGAGAAGAACTTATTCTGCTCCCAGTGGTCAAAATGTGCAAACACCGTCCATTTTCCTTCACTGCCAAAGACAAACCGTCAAATCAGAGATCAGAGTAAGACTTTGCTATATTGGTCTATACTAAATTGTCTGCTAATACATTGCTCATTTTAGAACTTTATTTACTGCCAACAAAATATTTTTCTAAGATTGGCAACTTTTTCAAAGTGACCACTCTTCCAAGACTTCCGAGAAACTAAACATAAATATTCATCAGATATGTGTGTAAATACATAAATATGTATACTTTATTCCTTTTTTTAACATCATTTCTTCCAACTGCTTCAAATAAATTCCTAGATTGATTTATAATATGACTATACATCTTTACCTTCCTTTTTGCGAATTAAAACATGGCCAGTACTCACTTAGATACTGTAGTTTACAGAAATGTAATGCCAAAGTGTTCGCCTGAAGTTGAGAGGAAGTCAAAGCCTGTGGCTGTTTGACTTACCTTAACACAAACAAGCGCTTTATTATTGAATTATATAGATTTGATGCGAAAATAAAATAAAATGGTCTATGTTTTATAAAACATTCTCTCTTCTCAAGTGACATTTGCCCTTTTTAGAGAGGTTTAGCCAAAAACACTCCACCTCTGAGGTGATTTGGGTGGAAATGTTTTTTTTTCCATATCTCTGGCCCCCCTTTGTCGATTTTGATGGTTGACACCTCTTTCTGACCGTTAGAGCCAATAGAATCGAAGGGGGAGTCCCCCACACACACTCATTGTAAAACAAAAAGGTGGGGGCTTTGCGCATGTAATTTTGCATTAGAGTGAAACTATCTCTCGCTTTGACATCTAGAAACGGAAAAGCAGTCTCAATGCTCATGGATTATCAGAAATCATTTCAAAGGGACACAGACACATTGGATTAACCTATGGATTAACTTCAGCAGCGTTTTTATCGTTGTAATGCCATTGAAGACCACTTTGGAGAGACTACAGAGCCAAGGTAAGCATGTTAGCATTTTTAGCTACCTAGCGCCACATGCTTTGATGTCTGTTTTTTATCAATTCAGTGATAATGAGGGTACCCTTCGATTCTGTGTCACCTCACGATGTGAAACGATGTCATGGATGTGGAGAAAAGATAAATAATAAGGTTTTGTGAGTGATTTTCGGTGCAGTAATCTGTTAGCATTTTTCGCTCGTTGCTAATTCAGAGGCTCAGTGTTAGCATTGTGGGTTTTCTTTTGAAAAAAAAATTAAAATGATCAGTTAGATGAGTTTCTTCCCGTTACATGGATATAAAACATTCATAGTTTATTAAATGAACATGCCCTCAGACACTGTTTCCTGCAAGATGTTGCAGCAGTGCCCTGGTACCGGGGTCTCTCGGGCTTAACAGGTTAAATGCAGAGGTCAAATTTCACTGTGTGTACTGTGTCCATGTATGTGTGAACATTAAAGAGGGTCTCATCCCTCTGATTCTATCTGGAAGAAAGATGAGTCAAATATCTTACTTGACAACTTCAGAGAGAGGAAAATGATCAGCAAAAACGCCATCAACAGCTCTGATCTTTGATTCTTGTTTAACCACCACACCATCGGGATTCTAAAACACACACATACAATTGTTAAACATTGTGTTAAATAATTTCAATGGGTTATTGCAGGACTTAACATAGGGCTGCATACAAAGATAATTGTATTATGAATGTATTAATTTTTAGCCGAAAAGAGATACAAATTGGACCGTACGATTTCTGAATCCCCAGGTTATGATTTTAAAAGGTTATGTATTTTCAGATTACCAGTTTAAAAGACAAATATATTCATATTATAATGATATAGAACAAATCCTTGAGCAGGATCAACCAAGAAATAATTGGCAATTTAATTATTTGTTTACCTGAATATCTATTGTGATGGTGCTGTTAAAAGCCTTAAAAGACGGAGAGGAAGTGAACGCTCTGAATCGAACTGGAAAGGGAAATGGACAAAAGTCAGGCTGAAAAAACAATCAAAATAAAGTTTCCATAATAAGTCTAACAATTGAAGGTGCGCTATTGATATTACTTGTAGTTCTAATACATGTATTGCTTCTATTAGTACTACTTCTATTGCTAATGTGACCTCATCAAAGAAGGCTTTAACTTTATATGCAAAACAAAATACTTTTCCTTATTTGTTGTATTCAATACAAATGTTATTAACCAAACAGCAGATTTACCAAAAATGATTGTTCTTTCAAATGTATGAGGTTACGTTGAGGTTATGTTTAGATTATTCTTTGGGTTTGGATTGTTTTATCAGTGTCTCCAGCTCTCACCAGTATCTCCGGGTTTATAGATGGGCTTGTCTGTCTGGATGAAGATGTATCCAGAGTGAAAGGACACCATCAGTATCTTCTCCATCGAGTGGTAGCCCCCAAAATCCACCTTCAGATACACATACTTATTGTTCCACTCTTCGCGCTTCAAATGATCTGAGGGAAGCTGGGAGGAAATTAGATTGAGATGATAAGTTATTGTTGTATTTGTTGTCATGTTGCTGCTTCAACCGTATTTCATTCCTGGATTGTCCCTTGTTTCCCATGTAGATGTGCTGCTTGTCTTTGCTCTTGCATCATTGGCTTGTACCTCGTTTTTTGTTTTCTGCTTTTACTTTTTATTACCATAGCATGCCCCCTTAGTTTAGTGTTTACCAGTTTTCGCTTCAGTTTTACTTTTAAAAAAGCTTGCCTTTATTTAATTTATTTATATTTGTATTTTGTTTTGTGTTTTGATCCAACTGCTTTACATACCCTGTGACAGTAAAAACGGAACAAAAAGGGAGCTAGCATGTGTTTTTTTTGGAGATGAGATGTATGACTTGTCTTGCACATCAGAGCGGAAAACGGCCTCTTGTTGGGAGGGTGAAGAGGCTGCTCCTAGGATGTCACATCGGGAGTTGTCTAAGAAGCCCTAGCTAAGAGCTCATTGCCTGAGTGACTTAGAGACTTTGTAAACAATCCTTAATGTCAACCTTTTAGTCTGCTATCTTGTGCCGTGCTAACAATAAACCTGCTAGTAATAGGCCTCAACCCGAGCCTGACACTCAGTAAATAATGCATGGTCCCTATCACCGCAGCACGTGTCCTAAGCCAGCTTCAGTTCAGATAAATTGTCCTTTGGAGGTTCTTGATTAAACAGTTGCTTGTTTGGTCTTCTTCTTGCTCATCCTCCGGGTCGGCTACTCCTGTCTGGTTGGCCTCCAACTATGTGTCCAGAGAGGCTTCACCCAACTACTCTATCATCAGGCTGTTTGTCTGAGATTCCCTTCCTCCTGCCCCCAAGCCTTCCATCTGAATTTCCGTTTCCTAACCACAGGCCGTTTGCCTGAGATTCCCTGCCCGAATCCTTTCTACGGATCCCCGGCAACCACCATCAATTTCCCACTGAATAACCATAACTTATATTACAAAGTTATTTTTACCATATTTTAGTGTTATGCGGTGAAGTTTTGTTAGACATTGTTGACAGTTCATTGTGAGTAGTTGAGAAGAAAATGACTTACCAATTCAAAATAGAGTCTATTTAATCTTAATCTATGCACATAGGACCTTGGTTAGTCACCTGTATAGACTTGAGAGTGTGGAATTCATTGTTCAGATTGAGCATGACAGAGTCCTGCAGGAGCATGGTGGTCTTACTGAAGTCCACGATAGAGATTGTGACAGTGACGGGGGAGGACAGACCCTCTGCCTGGAGGTAGATGTTCTCCTGGCTGTCTGTCCTCAGCAGATCTGGAGCCAGCAAAGTGAACCTGCAGGAAAACATGATGCAGGGGAAGTATTGAATAATGTGACAGGCGCTGCCAAAACTACTAACACTGCTTTTACTACCACCATAAGTACTACTGAAACACTTACAAAACAATGGCAACTTTTAGTAATAAAAAGCACAATTATAATAGTAATATATAATACAAATACAAAGGTTAAAGGACCTATAGTATATTAATAATTTCCTTTAAAAATAGCTGATATGTAATTGAAATGTCTCTTGATGAATACCAAACATTGCATATAATCTTGCAAAAATAAGAACAAAATTGGTGTATGATTACTGTTTATGTTTACATGTAGAGAAAGGTACCTTCTTGAAGTATCAACTTTTCCGTTGGAGCTGCAGAGTAGCAAGAAAAATAAAAAGTTGAGTAGAGTCCAGCGAGCCATGTTGGTAGACTGAAAGCATCAGTGGACTGTGACCACAGACACGCAGTAAACTATTTTAACCCCCACGTCCCAACCCCCCAATTGAATCCTGAACAGTCAACAGTCTATGATCAATAACGATGACACTCAAGACACTCAATCTTGATTTAATTCAATTTCCTGCCTTTCTACAAATATATTAGGGACTATGGTGTTAAAAAAATCCAAGAAAAATGTGTGTTATTTAAGGTAATTAGGTAGAGGCCCTTTTTTATCAGTAACGAATTTAGCAGTTGAACATAAAAGTCAACTGAGTGTCACTTGCAATGACAGTGTTGTGTTTTTATTTTATGAACCTTTTACATAAAAAATTGTTTTATAAATATTATTATCAATATGGATAAATACTAGGCTATTTATTATAAACGTTAGTCCTTAACATCTATCACTGTGTATATCACCATTCTTTAATTACATGTTTGATAAGTTTCTATGAAATAAGAAATGAATACAATTAAAATGTAATTATCATATCATATATTATAATGTATTGTATTATTAAGTAATATTATACATTAACCCAATTATAGCAGATGCCACATTCAATGGATGCATTTATGCATCAATAATTACAACGGAGTATTTCTAAATACAAGTTGTAAAAATACTTATATGTATTTAATAATAATAATAATAATGGGTTCCATTTATAAAGCACTTCATATTTGAATTCAAATCCCGAAGTGCTACAAACAGTGAGCATGAACAGTATAAATAGACATTACACAACACGGTAGAATTAATAAAAAGCAATAAAAAAATAAATAAAAAAATAAAAAAATAAAAAAATAAATGTATACTAATAACATAATGATTAATTTTACTTTCAGATGATAATACTTTTCAGGGTTAGGGTTAGGTCCGGTCTGACAGCGCTTAGCTCTCTGCTGCAGAGAGGAAGAGAAGATCACTGCTCTAAACAAAGTCAAAAATCGTACATCCAAACGGAATAAATATAATTAATTATTATTAATACGTTAAGTCTTGTTCATTGTTTTTCACTTTTATTAAATGTTTGATATTTCCGGCACAGACCCTTTCATACCGGCAATGCGCGATAGAAACAACAGGAACTGCGACAGCATAAACATGCGAACACAAACCAGACTGCTGGAGAAGAGAGATCACGGGGGGTTGGGACACACACATTCCGATGGCCAATTAGTTTTAAACAAAGAGTATACTCAACATAGGGGGGTGGGGGCTGGTGAACGGTATGGTCAATGTTTGTAAACACTGTGAAATGTTAACTTTATTTGATCATTTCAGTTAAAAACTAACGTTCATATTTCTCTTTTTGAGAAGAGAAATATGAATATGTTAGTGGCTGACCCAGCCCCATGGTCTGTCACAGTAGTGCGGGAAAGAGAAGTGCACTGTTTTGCCTGGCTGGACCTGTAATTTACAGGAAAGGAGTGAGCAGAGGGTGGAGTTGTCGATTCTTGTTCTGTTTTCTGTGAACAATCCTCACCCTCTACCGCTACTAAAGAGACGCGCTACCATGGAAACGAAACAATGGTGTAGCTGTATTGAAGTCTGAGTGGAAACAGTAACATTTGGAGCGTTATGTTAGAATGAAACAGCCAGGTCGTGACTCACAAAAAAAAAGTGTTACTTCACTAACTGTAAGCTTGTCACTCAGAGTAACCTACAGTTAACTTAGCTGCTGGAGAAGAAAGATCAGGGGGGTGGGGGGGGGGGGGAGAGAGCTGTGGATGATGGGCCATTAGGTGTGTAAACTATTTTTGAAATCCATAAAAACATTTTCTAAATCCATAAAAGCATTTAAATTAATATTGGGAGTCATGTCGTTACTTTGTTGAGAATGTGGCCATGTAATAAGCGGGATAATGTGCAGCGACTTGGTCATTATGGGGAAAATAACACCCTTCATGCTGATCAAGGTCCCTCCGCTACGCGTCGGGATCCTGATCTGCCTGACGAGGCTCCATTAAAATATAAATATTTTTTGTGAATTACTGAGTTTAGGCACGTTAATAACGTTTTAATGAAGTTGACTACAGTATATTCATATTTGTCAGTGCTGTCATGTCAATTCAGCGAACATAAATGATCGTGGTGAAGATGATGATTAAATTAGGATTAAAAATCGAGAGCCGGGCTGCATTTCCTCCCGTTCGTTTTTGGAGCCGGCGGGCTTCCTGATGTTTTGTGTACAGTAGTTGTGGACTAAACAACATTATTTTGTTAAATAAAAACATGGTGATGTTTTGTAAATGATTACATGTCTCTTATTTAGCACAGAGTATGATCCTATCCGTGACATATGGATCTTAACAAAGATCCGCTATACAGTAGTACCAGACATAAATCTACCGTACTGTATCAGAGTTTATTTCACATGAGCTCCAGTGTGGAACCCCACTGCACCCCCTGGTGGATCAATGATCCATTGCAGCTGGCTTCATTATAATTAAATGTATTTATCAAGGGGGCGGTCTCAAGTCACGCTGGAGGTTTACCTTTGAGCGAGGGCAGACCCCGTGCCGGCCACGGCCCTCGCATTTCAAACTGTCCGAAATTAGGTGCTACATCTGTACAAAGACGCCCGCACATAAACATGAACAATGAGATTCAACAAATTGAATAACAATTGTAATTACCTGTGACAGTGAGTGGGACATAGGGACCTGAATACATCCCCCATGGATGGTTTGTTTCGAACCTGAATGCGTACACTTCCAAGTCGCTCGCTCTTAGGTCTGATATTCTTAAAGTGCTGGGTTGCGGTCGAATAGTCCATTTAGCTTAGGAACCTTCCTAACAGAGTGAAATGACCCGGAAGTCCCTCAGTGGCAGCCATGATAAGTGCCGTTCGAATTCTCTAAATTAAAAGGAAAGGAGGTTTCAAACTTCCTTTATAACCTCCTTTAGCTTAGGAACCACTGGACCTCCCTAACCGAAAGGAGAGGAGAAAATGCTGCCCCACAATGCCTTGCGGCCGCGGCATTTGCCGTCACACAACAGTCGGCCGTTCACGGAAACAATCGATTATGAACGAGAAATGATATCATGAAAGTTACGGTTCAAAACGTATGTGGTAAGTTGCCAAAGTGCTTTGTTTTGAACGTTCATCAGTATTATAATCAAAAAGAGAAATATGAACGTTAGTTTTTACTGAAATGATCAAATAAAGTCAACATTTCACAGTGTTTACTGAGCTGTGTGGGGTTTGTTCAACTTTTAAAAAGATGTTTGAATGGTGATATACACAGTGATAGATGTTAAGGACTAACGTTTATAATAAATACATTTGTATTGCTTTTAAGATCTTTTCATAGTTCATACAATCATACGTATTGGGATCATTTGTATTAATGTGGACCGGAGGGAGAGGGTGACGAGCATAAGTTTCACTTTCCTTTTTTATTTCAATTCCAACTTTGGTCATGAAGAATATGTTTCTCTGTTGTCCCCGTTCATAAAGCATAAAACAACAGCATCAGAGCGCGGTGCAGAGTTTACAGTAGTCCCTCGTTCTTATTAAACATCCCTGTTGTAGTCCGCTGTATAGAAAACTGTAGTTTCCATAGTTTCCCCACCGCAGCAGGCGCACATTTATGACCTCCGCTGGCGCATCATAAACACGTCGGATAGTGAAAGTGCAGTCGGATTCTCTAAAGTACCGCAGTCTCTTCTCCTAAATCCTTTTGAATTCTCCTATCCACTATCCCTTAACCCCGTGACGTTTCACTCAGAGGTCAAGGAATAGACGATAGGGTTAGAACTTAGGAGCTGATTTTTGGACTATTCGACCGCAACCCAGCTATTGGTTGCACAGAGATTCTGCCCACGACCTCCAACCTCTGTAGTCAGCTCCTCATATACATTGCCTGTCTTAATTTGCCAGAATTTTTTCTGAACTGTGATAACCTTGCCTTTCCATGGAGATAGGTATGTGTAGGTGCAGCTTATTTCCATTGTGGATCGCAGCACAGATTTTAGTAGAAGTGCAAGTCACCTCCCAGACATTTGCACCCTGTACCACTGTCACAAAGAGAATGTCAGAAACCACAATCAGATACTTAAAAGATCAAAAGAGAATATTTTATGGAAGTGCATCATTATGTAAACCTGCTGGAGAACAGAACTACATTTCCCAAAATAACTTAAAATGTGTCATATAGGCGGCTGCATAAATGACAAAAAAAACACATTACCCCAAAATAATTGCAACAAAAGGTTTGTTAACAGTTTTGTGTAGTATCGGTTCATGCCAGTTATGACCAATAACACTGAAATGTCCAATTGTATTGTTAAATTACCATCACTTTTAACATCAATATGCTTATAACCCATTGCTTTAAAATGTACTTGTAATCACGTAATAATCACTATAATTTAAATATGCTAATTCGCTTCTTAGATCACCAAAACATGGGATTAGTCAAATTACCAAAATTGCTTGACTGGGATGAGAAAATAAGGGAGTAATGTCATTATAAGGAACAGGCGAACCCACATTTTGGATTTAAAAATTATGTAATCTTATTAATACAAATGTTTTTTGCTACCTACTTCCTCAAACAAATCCCATTGAAAATGGTCAGGTTACGTACACTATACGTCAGCGTACACTATGTGATAAAGACACAGTTCACGTTTGTAAGAGAACAGTTGAACAATGAACATCAAACATAAAAAATTAAAAGTGTCTACCTTCCAGTTTTCTTGCTCCCTTGATTGATTATTATTGTTCTGGTAACAGAAGTGTTTGCCTAGTAAAACAATGAGTAGAAACTGTGGAAATTGAACACATGGCTTCTTTATCTACATGTAAAGGAAATATGAACTTTCTTCACCTTCCTGAACAGATCAAAGACTAATTGCAATTAATTGTTAGTTTGTGTTAGATTCCTGTTTTCGTTGTTATTGTGCTGGGAAATTAGAGTAAAAGGAAACCTCAGAATAAAAAAGAGTATGCATAGTAAAGATTCAAATCAACTTGTTATTGTCTCATGTAAAC